TATCTATTAGCCATGCATACATCGCGGATGACAGATATTTTAGATATTTGATACGAAGACAATAGACTTTTTGCATATTCAGCCATTTCGCCTTTAGCGAGTGCTCACTGTGCCGAGTTCTTCAAGTGCTCGCTACAAATTTGTAGCATACTTTTGCGGGCAGCTGGCAGCCAATTGGCAGCCGAGTGTCCAGTCGCTGGAGTCAATTGTTGCCGCTCCAACTTGAGGGGGCCAAGACAACAGCTGAGGGCCAGGAGGGCAGGTGGTGGGGGGTGAGATGGGGTCGGGTAGGGTCAAGTTAACTGCAGCTGAGGCCGCAGCACTTGGACTAAGCCAGCCAAGAAGTTTTGTGAGTTGCCAAAACAAGGCCAACTCGTGACGCAAACAACAACAGCAAACCGACGAAGAAGGGCAATAATATGAAATAAATTCCAATAGAGGTTAGCAGCGAGGGGCAGCGGCTGGTTGGCTACGAAGTGGGTTTTAAGGGGTAACGCTACAAATCCGTACAAATTGAATAAGAACTCAATCTTGGCTACTGTCAAAACAACTTTTCTCTGGGTTGGGCTGGGTCAGCTTGGGTCGGTTGGGGTAGTCCTGGCAACCGGACACCGCAGCACGAGGCGGAAAGATACAAAAAAAATAAAAAAGTGGAAGAGGCACAACAAAAAAACAAACACACAGACAGAATGAGCGAGCGCGAGAGGGAGAGGGGGAAGGAAAGAGAGAGAGGGCGAGCCATATATTGAATGGAATTGAATTGAAATGGTCAAGCAATTGTTTGTGTATCATTATAGTCATCATCAATGTGCTCATCGACTCGCCAGCTGTCGCCGACCCGCTGCATATATCTCTCCATAGAAATACATATATACATATATACATATATATATTTATATATATATCATCAATTGCTAACTCTATCTGTGTGTGTTTGATATTTTTATAGCTGGGCAACTTGGCTTTGCTGTTGCTGTGGCTCCGTTTTATGAGTTTTGAGTAGACAAATTGAGATGGGTCCATAGATATTATTCAGGTCTTCAACTGGCGCAGCTACTTATGGGGTATCGTATAAGCAATCAGATCTCAGTAGCTCCTTAATATTTTCCAAGCCTTTATCAAAGGCTTCTTCCACTGTCGCGCTAATCTAGTAGAGTAAAAAAACGTTTTTCTTAATTGCAGCTAATTACAGGGTATCTTTTAGTGAAACATTTCCAACTAACTCTTCATTCTGACCTATACTTAAGCTATTATCAAATTTTGTACTTTATAACCGTTGATATTAGAGTTAAGCACAGTTATTCTTTGCTAAAGCCAATTACAGGGTATTTTCATGTGAAACCACCTTACGAATCCTGCTCACATACGAGCTCCTATCAATTTTTCTAGCCATTTCTCGTCAATATTTGATCAAATCAAAGTTTTTCCTTTGCTCATATTATTTACAGGGTATCTTAGAGTCAAGTTTTTTAGCCTTTAAGTGCGCCCTCATCATAGCTGTGGTTAGATGTCTTTATTTTCTAGTTTATATTAAGAAAAAACATACATTTTAGTTTTTGAATTTAATTACAGGGTATCATGTGAGCGACCTTTTTCCACTGTATTTTCAATATTGCTTATGCTTCAGTTTTTGCGAACTTACAGCTTTTACTTATCAATATTAAAGTGCTACGTTTTTTTAAGTTAAATTTAATTAGAGGGTATCTTATGGTCAAGCATTTTCAGCTCTCCCACTTCTTTAGCTCTCATCAGCCTTTTCCTACTTTGTATTTGTCTCTATTGCATTCACAGCAATGCTCAGCTCTCCCCAGCGCTCGCTGCGTATTCATAGCCTTCCCCGACTCCGCCCTCATCATAGGGTATTCGCCACGCCACCTTCCATCGGATATGTCAGCGAGCAAACATGGGGCATGAGTGGACATCTTCAGATACACGCTATGTCCATTGAATTCCAATTAACAACGTTTAGCTAAATGATTGATTGACTTTGCGAGTCGAGCGAAATGCGAAATGCGAAATGCGAAATGCAAACCCAATCCAAAATCCAAATCTATATATATGGAGAGATGTATATAAAGATGTGTGTGTGGATGTGTGCATGTGTGTGTATGGCTGTGTGTGCTTTTATGCTTGGCGAGCCCATAAGATGATCGATAGACAAATTGTTTAATTATTTCTATAAAGAAAAATGTTGTAATCAAATCGATTTGGACGATAATTTTGTAGTGTTGGAAAATGTCAAAATGAACAATTTGCATATAGTTACATAGATATATATAGGTATAAATTATCTACGTAACTATATATCAATGCAATTGCATTGCATTAAAATTACCTTTGAGGCATTTTACAACACTACAAACGGCATTTTCATTGCCAGCAGCTGTCGTTGAATCGAAAATTGCAACTGTTTAGGATTTGTTCTTGCCAAAATCTCAGAAAACATTTTACAACACTGGTCACTTCATGACGATTGGCCGCAATTATCGATAAGTACACAGTAAAACCGTATGAGCATGTACTGTGACTCTGCACAGCACTGGAAAAATCAAAAGTTATCGATACATTGCCATCTATGACCGATTGTATGCATTCAAGTAACACCCATATCAAATCTACACAGGCAAGCAGCTATCGATAGACGCACAAACCATCTATCGAAAGTTATCGATAACTTGTAGATGTAAATCTGATTTATGTGTTCGTTTCATCAAATAACTGCGACACTTTACAACACTTACTATGAACAGCTATCGATAAGCGTCCATTAACTATCAAAAGTCATCGATAAATGTTCGTTTACATCTTTCCACCGACACTTAGAGGTGCACCACAGCTGTCAACAGTTATCGATAAAGTGAAAAGTGTGAGCATTGCAAATGTTAATTGCAATTTGCCAAACACTTTGTGCCACTGTGTGTATGGGTGTGCGTGTGTGTGTGTGAGTTGTCATGTTATGTCAGGCGATCAATTGGTCTCGCTCTGGCCACGCCTACCCCCGCCCAGAGCCTCGCCCACGTCGCCCTTACCCGGCTGACGGCACAGGCCGCGGCACTATTAATTATCATGTTAAAATGTAATTAATTAAAGATGTCGTCAGCGCAGCCGTTGAAGCCGGCGCCCGCAACATAACTTTCAATGAAAAGTTAATAAATTACATAATGCCGTAAACGAAATTACAAACGCCATCAACGCTGACAACAACAACAACAACAACAACAACGCCACCTGATAACAAATCAAACGAACATTTTTGCTCTGCCTATCGACAGACGCGACGGCGACGGCGACAACGACGTCGACGTCGTTATTGACGCTGATGTTGACAAGGCGCTTGCACAGTGGCACACTAACAATTTGCAGGCGACAAAAAGATACGATGACATTTCCTCAATAAATAAATACTGAAAATACTTAATACATTAAAATACTAAATAAAAATACATAAAAATAAATTATACAGCGTATTTAGAGCACTCGTGCCTAATCTTCAGCTACGATCATTACACTGTAACAAAATTTCAGTTTTACGTGTTTCAATTTTATTTTCCAATTATAAAAACGTTATAAAGACATACATATGCATATATATCTATATAAATATAGAAGGTATAATATACAATATATAGGAAAATAGTTGTGAATGTGTGCCTATAAACCTATATAGTATATACCTATTTCCCTATTTATATATGTATATAGATATATATGGATATACACATAAGTATGTGTATATATATGTGTATGTATATAAATGTATATATAGATATTTACATGGATATATATATATCTGTCAATATATCTATATATATACTTTTATACATACATACACATATATATACATTATAATATATATATATATATTATATAGAGCTGCTAGAATTGTGGATAAAGCTATGAAAAAGTTATTTACTAGTGGTATTTCCTAAGTATTCTTCCGTGACTATCCGTATCGTTGGTATAAATTATAATTTGGTATTTTTTGTTGGTAGCTAATTAACATAGATTTCCATTATTTCTTAGTACGATTCGCGTGGTATACGTCTAGTTACATCAACCTAGAGTTCAGTTAGTATTTTTTCACGTGTATTATTGGCATCTATGCAGTCTTTTGTTTGGTTCGTCGTGATTTTCTTGTATTTTTGCCAAGAAATAGAATTTAGTTTTTCCTTAAAATTTTTCAGCGTAATATAAAATTTTTTTTGTGTAAGCGATTCTTCCGTGATTTTTCTATCTGTATTTTTCAGCTATTGGGTTTTTCTTGATAAAAATATAAAGTTGGTATATTTTTGGTATTCTCATGTGCAGCCTGTTCTTTCATCGGAGATTTTTGTTTTGTTTCTGTTTGGAATTTTCCTTAGGTAACATTGCAGTTGTCCTTAAATTAGTATTATTAGTTCCTTTCCGCAATTTTTGTAGTTGTTCGTGCTAAAATCGGGCCTTGCGATTGTCATCGATATCGCTCTTTCGATATACCATCTTCGATGCGTTTTTAATTTGTATTTGATGTTTGGTTTCAGCTTGCAGGGCTGGTCAAAACGCTCTGGATATAATATTTACCACAGTCCCGACGAATACCCGCCAGGTGGGACTCTATTATTCGTGTTAGGGTGCATCGGCTGTCCGCCCATTTGATTGGGCGGCTGTATGAAGTCGGTGGCGCCCGGCTTGTAACCCTCCCCGGTGACGGGGTTACCCTCTATCATACAAAAAGATAACGAGAGAAATTTATATAATAGATAATGGATTAAAGATGGTTGGCTGGGGGCAGATTCGGGGATGGAAGTATTTTCCATGCGTGATCTAACTGTTGGCCATGCAAGACCCAAGGAATTGGGAATGGTGGACTATGTCCCATAGATGATCTAAATATTATCCATACATTTTTACCGCTGGCTATACAAGATCTAAAATGAATGAGGAAATAATTCGCATGTAAGATCTAAATTTTAGATCCACGATTTAAATTTGACCTAGGCAAGAACTAAACTATCCATGACCTCTCGGTAAAATCTGGCCCATCTAAGCTCCATTATGAGCTTGTATAATTCTACACACAAACCTCGATTCTTGAGCTTCTTTGGCTTCAGACCGCCGACGCCATCGCCATTAAGACCGGAGCCGGTAATCGGATTGCGTGAATAGAAACTATCCTTGTTATCGATCTTGATGCACGGTATATGCGACTGCTCCACATAATCTCCGCAAGGTCCCAATGGTTCCTTCAGATCGGCCTCCGGGCCCATATCGTTCAGCGAGTATGGACGATCAGGATTTGTGCTCGAGTCACAACGGCTCTGTAGATAAACATCGTGTTTGTCCGACTCGATGAACGTGGCGTTATCAGCCGGCACTGATCCGACAGTGGTATCGATACATGGCCGATCGATGTCCAATATATCGATTGGACGATCCAGCTCCTCGCTGAGCGCAGGGGATATGGGGCAAGCCAGATCCCGATCTATGTCGTCGTCGAGTATATCCGGAGCGTGAGCTGGGGTTAAGATCAAAAAATATTAGCTTGGAATGAAGTTTTACTTCATTCAATATAGAAACTTTTTTAGAACAGTCTGAACTCTTGGACCTATATCTTTAGATCTTTGAGTCTTGAGATACTCACTGCTCATGTTGGATAGCTTTATATGTCACACGATAAATAGATACAGATATATATATATTCCGAACCTTTTTAGTATATAAATTTACACTCGAACCGGATTCACTTTTACAAAATATATATAAAGTACCTTGACTTTTTTTTAGAGTTTTTAGTTTTAAGTTGTGTTCAGCTCTGTAACTGGACTAGGACTAAACATTATTTGACCATCGAACTGGTACCTTGAAATCTCAGACGAAGTTCAAGCCGCTGCCTACTAAAGAAAGGTTATTTTAAGTGTCAAAGTGCTTGTTAAATTGCCTGGCAAGCAGTTAAAGTTTGACAATCAAAACTAAGAATTAAGGAATAAACAATCCAAAACTATTATAAATTTTTTTACGATATTTTATAACCCATTAATAATAAAATTAATATAGGGAAGTTTCTATTCAAAGAGAAAATCCAAGAAAAATTCAAGAAAATATTTTTCAGGAAAATTTCTGCCTTTGCTCCACCGTGCACGTAGCTCAATTGACGCGTGTGTGTGCGTGTGCTTTGTCATGACCCGCATAATCCGCATGTAAAACAAATTAATAAATAAATAATAAATAATAAATGTGCGTAATAATAATGACTAAAGAAATATCAGAAACAATAAATTTTATTTGAGTAGTCGCCAAAACCGCCGACAACAAATGCCAAAAACAAAGGCAACAATTATTAATGAAAGAGAGCGAGAGAGATGGGTGCTTCGCAAGCAGCGCTCGGTATCGGTGGAGGGGGGCGTAGTGGCAGGGGCGGGGTCGCCTGTCTCTTGTCATAAACGTTTATAAATTTGTTGTTTGCGCGTAAATAAAATTCGCAACAATATTAAAACTGATGCAAAGGCATAACGGAGTGATGGGCGGCGGACGCGGCTCTTTAAAATAATTTATCACATGCAATATTCACGCACGCACTCACACATGCACACACACACGTTACCTTTTGCTCTTGAGCCGCCGCTGCTTTAGTCGCGCGCACGTTTTCACGCACATTTGTAAGCAAGTCAGGCAATCGCTTGCCCAATTAAATGCGTTGAAGCACACACGCACACACACACATACACACACTCACTCACTCACTCACTCGCTCGCTCTCTCTATCTCATAACTGTTATCTCAAACGTTAATTCTCAAATGTCAAAACACTCGCATTTCCGCTCATAACAGTTAAATAAACAGAGGCGAAAGCTCGGTCTCTAACCACACTCGCCTACTGCAGCCACGCCTCTGCATGCAATCGTCTCAATTAAAAAGGTGACACACACACAAACACAACAGTGAGAAGGAAAGAACAAGACAATAATACGCAACTTTAAAGCACAGTGGGCACAGTACTTAAACATACATATAGCATACTTTTTGAGCTTAGGCAAAACAAATAGATAGAAAGGGAGAAAATAAAAGTTGCAAAAAATATGCTCTACTCAACTGCAGAGAGATCAGAGCATACTTTGCGTGAGCGCGAATGTGTGATCCCACCACAAACAAAGCAACGGCACATTGCGCTCCATATAACTGCGCTATGCTGCGGTACAGTCGGTCTGCCGCGGGCATCAAGAACTTCAATTGCAGCTGTCGCTTTGTCGCTGCTGCAGCTGTCGCTTTTGTCGGAACATCTCGCACTCTTCCTTCAGTTTAGCTGGCAGCTGACTGCGCTGCTTTTGTAAAATCATTTGACATGTCAACGTCGCGGAGTCTAATGTCGCGTCGATCCCCTTCGAATGCCAATACAGAAAACGAAAATCACATGTGCTCCCACTCCAACAAATAGCAACCAGCCACATAATGGTTGAGGTGTAAGCGAAAGCATTGCCCGTTTATCAAAACGGTGCCCGCATACGCTGTTGTTGTTGTGGTTGCCGTTATTTTTGCCTTTCCTCCTTCTAGTTATTCTGAGTTAAAGTCGTGCAGGAAAAAGCGCAAATCAGCCACAATTGCCTCTGACAGACGCAAGCTCTTTTGCCTTTGTGCGCCAGTTTGTGCATATGTGCACATGGGTGTGTGCGCTAGTGGGTTTGTGTGTGTTCAATACTTTGTACCCATGACAGTGTGCGAGTATGTGTGGCTTTGACATTATTTGTGCTGCAAGCTGACAGATTTTCGTTACGGCAGCATTAAATTGAATTTTGACATTTCTTTGCATATGCGAAATAGACACACACACGCACACATTGCCATTTACACATGTACGCGTGTATTTTGTCATATTTAAGCTGAGCCAGTGGCAAAAGGCTGCAAGCACTCTCTCTCCCTCTCCTCACTCACTCTCTTGATGCCATTCTTTGACCAAGTCACTTTGTGAGTTTTAGTTTGCACTCGAGACATCAATTTTAAAACTGACTAATAAAATAACAAATTATGATTGATTCGATTAATTAAAGCTCAACAAGCTTGTTTTCATTGCATCTTTAAGTTATGGCCAAGTCTCAAATTGAATTTGAGCCCAACCAAAATGCAACAGAGGCAAAAAATAATTTGCTTTAGTGAGCAAAATTTCCATTTTTGTTGATTAAAGAGCCAACAAATTTATGTATGGGTGTGTGTGTAAGTGAGTGTGTGTGTGTTTGTTTTTTTGTTTGATTAACGCCCGCTCAACTGACTCAAACTTTGACGCCCAGTGGTCAACTGGTCAGAGGGAAGCAGCTGCCTCCTCAATACTATTGCTGCTCGTCTATTTCAATGCTCAGCACCTTGAAAATTAATTTCTCACGTTTCACGTACAATTTGTATGACCGGAAGCGTTTTCAAGCCTGAATTCTGCCTCTTGTTTCTCTCCCTCTCTGTCTCTCTCTCTCTCTCTCTCTACCGCTCTTTCGGTCGGTCGGCTGCAATCCTAAACCAATCCAGCTAAGTTCCAGTCTCCACTTCCTCATTTCTCCACAACTAGCTACTCGCTAATGAAGGTTTCATATTGCTACATCGGCTGCTCTTGGTATACCCTGTGCTTGTAGCTAGCTGCAAGCAGGATATGATGTATCATAAATCTGACTTTAAATCTCTGATTTGTTTTCTTTAGCAAAAGAAAGCCTTCATAGTCTACTCTAACTTCTTAATCAGTTTATATTTACAGGGTATTAGATATTTAATCTTTAAGACATTTTAACTTATTTTTTTAATTTTCTGTTGCGTATTTAGCCATAAAAACTGTGCTTGACTTCAGTTATACCTTGTTAAGCTGCATATCTCAATTACAGGGTATTGCCAGCTCATTAATTATTTATTAAGACATTTTTTTTCTGCGCATCTCTACCTATTGAACATATTTGTGAGCTCTATTGCATTCGATACGTTTCACCCCATAAGTCACATATAGGGTATGCAGTACGGCAAGCATAATTGCTTAGTATAGATAATAATATAAACAAAAAAAAGAGTAACTATTAGTCTATCATTTCTGCATTTCAGTTAATTTTTTACATATATTTATATATTTCATTTTCATTTCTTATACACCCTGAAGTTAAACAATGCCTAAACGACTTTTACTGTAGTTACAGGGTATATTCTAGCTCAGCATTTTAGCTCAATTTTTAAATATATATACAGTATCTGCTTCTTAAGCAATCAAAATTAATAAAATATTGCCATACATCAGTTTTAAAGTTGTTTAACAGGGTATCTATTAGCACATCATTTAAACACGTGCACTTAGTTGCCCAGCTCGTTGTTGCTTTTGGCCATAGCACGTAGCCAATGAGTCCAATTCCGCATTTGGCTTCAGCCTGGCCACGCACTGAAATGCATTTGCCCATATGTGTATGTGTGTGTGTGTGTGTGTGTGTCTGTGTGTGTGTGTGTGTGTGTGTGTGTGTGTGTGTGTGTGTGTGTGTGCGTCAGCGTCTGCGTGTGCGTGTGTATGTTTGTAAACACAAATACTCGTGCATGCATTGCAGTGTATTGGACAAAGCGTGTAAAGTGATATATTATACCCAGCAATCAGACCAATGCCTTTTGGGGTATACAGTTTAAACGCTTAACGCAGCCTAAAAAACTTTTATAAATTTACGTAAATAAATTAATTCTAAAAAGCCTTTAATCTTTTTTAACAAATATAACAAAATAAAAATATAAAAAAATAAATAAAAAATAATAAACTTTTTTAACAAATATAACAAAATAAAAATATAAAAAATAAATAAAAAATTATAAACAATTTTTTTCTTTTTACAAATGTTTTAAAAAATGTTTTTTCTCAAAATGTTCACACAAAAAATAGTTCAATTCAAATATTTTCCAATTGATTATATCTATTTTAAGTTTTTAATAATTTTTTTTCTCCATATTTTAATTTGTTTTTTTTTTTTTAACTATTTCTTAATTTATTTTAAATTTCAAAATAATTATATTTTTTGTTTATTGTATTTTTGTTTAGTATGTCTAAATGTTAAAAAAAAAATGGTTGCTTAATTTGATTTTTTAGCACCGTATTAAAATCTATTATTCATTAAATTTTTTAAGTATTTAAATTTTTCAGCCCATTTTTTTTGTGCTTGAAATATTGTAAGACTTATAATTTCGAAAACATATTTTCATACTTTTTCTAGATTTTTAAGCGCAGAGAACAGCGCTTTACTGAGTAAATGAGTTTTGTATTGAACTTTATGTATTTATATAAATAAATAAAATATAAAATATGTTAATAAAAATATATATACATATATATATATATATATATATATATATATAAGATATATATATATATATATATATATATATATATATATATATATATATAAATATAAGATATATATATATATATATATATATAGATAAATAACGTGTTGTTGCTGCTTTACAGGGTAGCGCCTGGTCGTTCAGCTCGCTGGAAAACATTCTCAACTTATTATTGTTGCGGTTTGTGTTGTGCTTCTGTTTAGTTATTACACATATTAGCTTGTGGCCAGCTTTGGCTTTGTTTGTCACAGACTCGAAGCGGAGACCAGACCACCTTTGTCAAAGAGAGAGGCAGTGAGAGAGAGAGAGGGGCAGAGGGAGAGAGAGTTGTCATGCGTGTGCTTAAATTGCAGAGGATTATGGGTCTTAATTTTATGATTGCTTCTTTAATCAGAGCAACTAACGGCACGCCAATTATGTCCAGACCGTGCTAATTGTTTCTCTTTCTCTCTCTCTCTCTCTCTCTCTCTGTGATTCACTCCTTCTCGCTTATTCCCTTAGCAGCTAATCGATGTGCGTTATTTGCGATTAGTCGGACGAGCCAAATGAGCCACGTAGTCACAGAGCAGGCGACGGTGTGGGGCGTGGGGCTTTCTTATGTCTTGGCAATCATTTGTCTTGTTGCGAGAGCACACCAGCAACCCAGCAGCCACGCTGCCCAGCCACCCAGCCACGCCCACCCGCAGCCCCTTTTGTTTTGTCGGTTTTGTCGGTTTTCGCTCTGGAGCATAATGAATGCGTGCTTAGCCATAATAAAATGTAGCGGCATTTTCCAACAAGCCACAAAAACAAGGCACAAATACACGCACACACACACACAAGCACACAGGCATACCTGAATACACTGAGCGAAAATAATTAGCCGAAAGTGAAGCGTCTATGGAAACAGCATTCGCTAGGGATTTGCTTAACATCATTTTTTAAGAAGCCAAGGGAGAGCGCAAGAGAGAGAGGCAGAGAAGAAGAGAAAGCGAGTGAGAGAAGCAAAGGGTATCACCAAGTCGAGCTCATATCTTTTATCAATATCTCTCTATCTATCCCTCTATGTCTCTCTTGATTTATCTCTTATCCTTCTCTCTCTTTTGCTATCACTTTCTTTCACTTTTTTATCTCCCATCCCCAGCTCTCGTCACTCATCTCTCATCTTTTACTCCCTCAAACTCGCTCTCTTTCTTTAATTCTTTTTCTGTATATTTCTATCTCTGTCTCTATTCTCTCTCCATCAGTCATCTCTCTCTCTCTCTCTCTCTCTCTCTCTCTATCTCACCTGTTGTCCTCCCTGTCTCTCTTCCTCTCTCGCAATATCTATTTATCCATCTATTTATCTCTCATTGTCTGTCTCTCTCTCCCTTTCATATTTTAGTTTAATCTACAGTTTTTGTCCCAGTGCAGCTGCCTGCATCAAGCTTCATTTGTAGGCCACCCGCAAGCTGCTGTTGCTGCTGCTGCTGCTGCTGCTGCTGCTACTGTTGCAAACAATGCAATAAAACATTTCACAATGCGAGGCACTCTGCGGACATCATGCGGCAGTCGGTTTAGCAGTGCAACATGTGGCGCTCGGTTAGGATCGCCCAACAAAAAACGCCAGCAAAAAAGCACCAAAAAACCCCAAAATCCCGTTCTCAGTGCTGTCTCTCTCTCCCACTCAGTCACCACCTCCCTCCCCTGCTCTCTATCTCGCTCTTTCACACTGTTGTCTAGTCATGCTTGAAAAAGTTGTAAATAAATAATGCGACAAACACTTGTTCCCTGACATTTGAGAGACAAACAACAACAATCGACTCTTTGGCAAATACCCTGTAAATTACATAAAATATAATATAATTACATAAAATTTAATCAAAATTAATTTGATTAATTTGCAGCTTAATTGCAGCTTGACCAAGTGAGGTTTGCTATGAAGGTAAGATAAGATAAGGCGAATTTTTGTTGATTTTAGTTCAGCTTAGCTAAGTTGAGGTTACTCTGTTAATTTTCTCTTATAAATAAAATATGGTTTTTGAAGTTAGATCAGGTTTTATCATTGTTCGAAGCTTTGTGAGGCTATTATTGACTAAGTGAGGTTAGATGTTAGACACAAACTATATCGGTTGAGGTTAGGTTGCTTTTGAGCTCGAATCACATTTTTATTTACATATTTTATTTATTTCTACGACTTATGTGAGGTTAGGTTTAACTTACGGACATTAATCAGTGTTCCAAAATATAGTGGTTATAGATATTGTTGGCCCTGAGGTTAGATAATTAAAATTATTGTAAGTTTTACAAGCTCAAGGTTTGATTGTAGAGGTTTTGTCGAATTTATTAAGCCCAAACTGAGCTTAATTTAAAAATTACAGTAATAAGAGTTTAGCTGTGTAGTGCTTTGATATATTTCTAGTTTTTTTTTTCTTAATGATAATATGAAAATTGTTCTTTATATTTACTTTTGTGAGGTTTAGTTTGCATTTTATTAGCTGAAAGTGATTTTGAGTTGGTTAACTGTAGTTAAAGTGGGCAAAGCGCCGATAAGAATTGCTTTTAGTGTCAATGGACATAAGTTAGGCGATATTTTTAGATTAGATTGCATAGAGTGAGGTTAGGGCAAATCCAAATTTTTAAGCATTTGCTTTAAACATGTAAATTTAATGAGTTCCGCTATCCCTCAGCAATTTTACCAATTAAAACTTGAATGCATTTGGCTTCCATCCTAGGTTACGTTTCCATTTTTGTTTGTTTTTTATTTCATTTTTAGCTGCGTATAAAATTTTTTATCATAACTCATCAAAGTAGTTGCCAATGACAACGTTGTGCCCCTTTTTTGTGGCTCACACTCGGCTCTATTGCCAGGGCTGTGGCGTGTGGGCGTGGGTTATCGCGAGGCTTCAGGGTCGGGTCAGGGGATATTTGACATATCGCTGGAATGAATAAAGAAAACTTGAAAGCCTTTTTGACGAGATATGCATATACACAGAGCTCTCTCGCCCTCTCTATCTCTCCCTCTCTCTATCTCTCCCTCTCTCTCTCTCTTTCTTTCTATCTATATACATATTGAAATCTATATGTATATATACATTCAAGTGCAAGAAAGAGGCAGTCATTAAGTTTATTAAGTGCCCAAATGCAGATAAACTAAATGAGTGCATGCCAAATGGAGAAGCCACTGGCAAAGGCAATTTACGCAGGCAATGCAAGTTATCAAGTATCTCTGGCAGACCCATTCCCCTGGTCTGCGCCAGCAAGCGCTGCGCCTATGGAAAAGTTTCAAAGTAAACGAACAAGAGTGAAAAAGAGATAACAAACAATGTGCGGCTAACGGTGGTCGGGCAAATTACCGTTGCAAGCTGCAAAAACTTCATGGCGGACCGCAAAGATTAGCGCTATCAGTAAGTAAGAGAAAGACAGAGAAACAGCGCCAACGAGAGAGAGAGAGAGAGGGAAAGGGAAGTTTGGCTTAAGAGCATGACCGAGGGGTGTGCGAGAGATAAAACGAGCGCGCTTTGACCGCATTAAATACGTTTTCAAGTGTTCATTTTACGCATGTATATATGCATTTACATATATATTATTATTAGTATATTATATATGTATATACATATATACACATTGTTATCTCAAGAACCACAGCAACTGGGAAAAGAGGGAAAAAGAATTACGTTGTTATACAGCAATGAGTGTATTTTATAATTGATAAGCGTGCAGCAGGGTCATTCACACATTTCTCGCGAAAAAAAGAGAAACACAAACCGTTGTAAACGAACTTAATACATTTTTATTAATGAGACATAAATTGCTTTTTCTTCGATTTTCAAACTCAAATTTAAATTCAAATAGTAAGGAAACAAATGCTAATTGCTATGTTCAAACTATCGTATAAAAGAGCTCAGACAAATGCTAATTGCTATATTCAAATGCAAATCGATTTATCATAAGCTGTGTACAGCCGTTATTCAGTTAAATGGTATGAAACCGCTTGGTATGGCAGCTGCACACATGTTTTGGTTTTGCTTTTTAGTACGCAGCGCACAGCTGTTAATATGTGCGTATGGAAAAAACAATGAGTTTTGAACATTTTATCAGCTGTGTGTGTTAGCTGCGTACTTACCTAGCTGGTCGGCTATTAAGTCGCGCACAGCGCCACACTGCAAAGCACTCAACATTTTGTCGCCGACAGGGACGCGGGCGTCGTGCCAGTGCGTGGTGTAATCTTTATTTCTTTTTGTATTAGTTATTCGTTTGTATATAAACACAATTGCTTGCTGAGCGTGTGGCTGTGTTCCTTTTTTTGTTGTTTTAGTTTTCATTTGTTGCTTTCATCAGCCACACCTAACGAAATGTCAAATACCAATAACTGCAAAAGCTTGCCTCATCAGTTAATTCAGTTCGTCAATTGCCGCTTAGTGCGTAATCATCAGCTGATCGTCGATGATCTATGGGTGCGAGATGGCAGAATCATCAATCCGGAGCCAGTTTTCTATGAGGAGCGGGCGACGGCGCACCAACGCATCGATTGTTGCGGTGCGATCATAGCACCAGGCTACATCGATTTGCAAATCAATGGTAAACAAGGGCAGTTACAGCTGAACAGCTGAAACAACTGGCATTTCACTTTTAATGCGTCGCCAAGGTCACATAATTTGCTTATATTAATCTAATCGCCGATCCGCCCACTGTACTGTAAGCACAAAAAGCGCGATTGTAATCATAAACGTTGAATTAGAGAGAACGAGATGCATGCAAAGCGATAATGGCGATGTGCAAATCAACGGTAAACAACTAAACGAAATCTGTAAGCACAAACGAACGACTGTTAGAGCAGTCTAGCTAGAGTAAACTTTATGCATGCTCAGCTTTTTATTCACATTGCGCTCTTCAAAGTGTTAGAGCAGTGCATAAAGACAGTTAGCTTGCATGCCATTTATTCATAACACCTAAGTAGGTACAGCACAGATAGCTGCAACTTATCCACTATTCGCATGCACGATCAAAATCGCTTTCTCTCTCTCTCTTTTGCAGGCGGCTATGGTGTTGACTTCTCCTACGACAAGGACACTATTGAGGAGGGCGTGCGCAAGGTTGCCACAGGTCTGATACGCAGCGGCGTTACCTCATTCTGTCCCACGCTCGTAACGTCACCCAATGATAGCTATCATACGATATTGCCGCATATACCACAGCGCATCGAAGGCGGTGCCGGCATTTTGGGCGTCCATGCCGAAGGACCCTTCATCAATCCACAAAAGAAAGGCGCTCACCCAGCCAATTGCATTCAGACTATTGACAATGTAAGTGAATGTTACTTAAGCTTCTCTCTTCCCTGCCAATATTGCTTAAGCTTCTCTGAGCTCTTTCAAAATTGCTTAAACTCTTCTCTTCACATTACTTAAGCTTCTCTTTTCATTTTGCCCAAGCTTTACTCATCTCTTGACATCTTCCTTAGGCTTCTCTTTTCTCATTAATAGAGCTTTTCTCTCCTCTCTCAATGCTGTTTACGCTTCTCTCTTCTCTTTCCAAAATGCTCAAGTTTCTCGCTCTCCTGTCCATATTGCTCCAGCTTCTCTGTTCTCCTTCTAAGTCCAATCTTCTCTTTACATTTTGTTTAAGCTTCTCTCCTCTCTTACTTCTTCTCTTCTTGCTTAAGCTTCTCTCTTTTCCTCTCTTTCAACATTGCTTAAACTTCTCTCTTCTCTTGTTTCTCTTAGGGCATGGACACGTTGCGCTCGACGTACGGATTGCTGGAACGCATTAAGATAATAACGCTGGCACCTGAACAGGTGAGCGATGCGAGCGTTATCGATGAGCTGGTAAAGGCAGGCATTACCGTCTCCTTGGGCCACTCGATGGCCACCTTGAGCGATGGCGAACGAGCTGTTCGGCATGGTGCGACCCTCATTACGCACCTGTTCAATGCGATGCTGCCGTTTCATCATCGTGATCCAGGATTGGTGGGCTTGCTAACCTCCGATCAGATACCGGCTGGTCATATTGTCTACTTCGGCATCATTGCCGATGGAGTGCATACGCACTCGGCTGCCCTGCGCATTGCCTATCGAACGCATCCGGACGGCTTGATCCTGGTCACAGATGCGATTTCGGCACTTGGCCTGGAGGATGGCGTCCATCACATTGGCCAGCTGCCGTTGGAGGTGAAGCAGGGTAAAGCTTTTATCGCTGGCACCGACACGCTCTGTGGCAGCATTGCGCCCATGGACGAGTGTGTGCGCATCTTCCAAAAGGCAACAGGTGAGTCAATCTCGAGTACTCAGCACTCGCCGCCAATCTCTCAATCAACTGTTCCCCTCTCATTCAGGCTGCTCTCAGGTGTTTGCCATTGAGGCTGCCACATTGCACCCGGCTCTTTGTTTGGGCATTGAGCGTGAGAAGGGAACATTGGACTTCGGTTCGGATGCTGATTTCATAATACTCAACGATGATTTACAGGTGCTGTCCACCTGGATAGCGGGCGAGCGTGTTTACAAGTGCAGCAACTAATGTAGCCCCGCCCACTTTACAAAATTCTCTTTGTTGCTCATTTTTCTTGTTTTGTTTTATTTTCAATTTTTTATTTGGATTAGATGACGCTTTAAATTGTTCTTTAATATTTAATCATTAAATCATTTGGTGTGGACAACTACGCTAAATCCATATACATGTACAAATAATAAGTATTACGAAAAAAAAACACATTTTATATTTATATAAATACACACACACACATACATACACATATACATATTTATGTGTATATAAGTGTGCGTGCTTTAGGCGCTTTGGCGTAAGCTAAGAAATGTTTTTACGCCATTTTTTGTTTCTTCTGTTAGATGAAAAAAAAATACAGTTAATCTTTATAAGATGCAGTCGGCTCGATTCCAACCTCACTTTTATATGCTCTTTCCTAACCAATAACAAAACGGAAAGCAAGTTGCAGCTAAGCTAACTAACGGTTAAACGCAAAAAAGCAGGCAGCCAATCAAAATGAAGTACTTGCAAGTATTTGTAGCATTACATACATGTATGTCTGTCTCTGTAAGTGTGTGTGTGCTTGCATATGCATGTATGAAAAAAATTGTTACAATTACATGTTACATGTGTGCCCGACAAAAGTTTAAAAAAAAACGCGTACACAAATTGTTGGCATTTTTTAAGTGATTTTTTCTTTTTTCGTTTCTTTGTGGTATTTAAGTAATTATCATATACATATACAATATCAAGTGTGTTGCTCTGTGTGTGTGTGTGTGAGAGAAGGAAAGAGAGTTTAAGTCGCATGTGCGTCCGTTTCAGTTCCGTCTGTTCCACTGTACGCTAAATAGGGCCGCATGCCACAAATGCGCGACATGCTAAAATGCACTTTTGTTTTTTTCTTTGCTTATCAATTTGCAGCTATCGCTGTTTCGTTTTCCACTTGGTTCGTTTCGTTGTGCGTTTACAAACGTACGCTGTATTGTTGTTTTTTTTTGGTTTTTTTTTTTTTTTTTTTGTAAAATTACTCCAAATTACATTTATACAATATTATAAAACTTTAGGTAGGTTCTTTCTTGGTTGTTACTGCTATTAGAATGTGTACGCGTGTGTGTGTGTTTGTCCAAGTTGATTGCTTGCATTGTATAATAGTATAACAGTTATATACTGCTGGCCTGCCGCTATATGGGGCTATGACACTTGTTAGTTTTGCTTTAAGTTGGTTTTATTTTCATTTTTTTTATTGCGCAGCATAAGATAGATGTCATTTGTGGAAGCGAGACAGGATGCGCATGAGTACCAGATAGATTGCAGGGTTGCCACCCAGTAGAAAACGCATTTGTTTAATTTTCATATTAGTTTGTTTTTGTTTTTCTTTTCTTTTTTTTTGTTCATAGAGTAATATTAAAGGAGCTATCAAAAAGTTATAAAAGAAACACACTCAAACACACACGCAGTTGCACGCACACAGTTAAGAAAAGCACTAGGTTTTTGCCAAGTTTGTTAAATATGTATATATCTATATATATATATATATATATATCATTTATGTATAAGTGTGGGTGTGTGTATGTGTGTGTGCATGTATGTATGTATGTATGCATGTATGTATGTATGTATGTTATAGATCACAAAACCAACCGTGAACGTTAAACTAACAGGTGTCATAACCCCATTACGCACAACATTTGCTGTAGCTCGTCGCTTTGTCGCTATTGCCGCGATCGATGACAACCCTTTCGGGATTCTCGGCCGATTCGCGGCCCGATGTTTTATCTAATATGGCCTCGGCAAGTTCACAAAATGCGCGGTCAATATTTATATTTGATTTGGCGGATGTTTCCATAAATCGTATGCTATGCTCCCTTGCAATCTGAACGTTAGAGAGAGATAGAGAGTATTTGTGAGAGTAATTCAAAAAATTTGTGTTTATGTATGTGTAATTTACCGCTTCGCCGCGCTCTTTGCTGACAACTCGCTTGTCCGACATATCGCACTTGTTGCCCAATATCATCTTCTCCACATCCTCATTTGCATGCTAAACCAAAGAGAGAGAGAGAGTGAGTAAGTGAGATCAGATGGAAAATTGATTGGGTTTGCTTACCTCGTCTATATTCCGTAACCATTTGACTATATTCTCGAAACTTTTCTCATTCGTTATGTCATATACAAGCATTATGCCCATCGCACCACGATAATAGGATGTGGTGATTGTGTGAAATCTCTCCTGCCCGGCCGTATCCCATATTTGTAATTTAATTTTTTTGCCCCTGAGTTCGACTGTTTTGATTTTGAAATCGATTCCTGCAAGGCAAACAACAATAACAATTAATCAATAGCAATAACGAGAGATCGTGTCACATATTCCAATTACAGCTATGACGTCACAAGTTGAACTGGTTTATCGTGTTGTACATTTGATAACAATTTATTTAGTTGGAACTTCGAATAATGCGTAGCCTTGTATGTGTGAATCATAACACACACTAACACACACACATACACATCAACTCAAGTATTTTTATATGTATGCGTCATTATTTATAATCCAGTTTACCAACACTGTGTACATTATATACCACTGAAGCGCCTAACCAACAACAGCGCGCCTTATGCAGGCAATGAGTGCGATTCATTAAGTCCAAAGGCTATCGCACGTATATATATATATATATGAATGTATATATAATATATATACATACATTATATACTCTACTATTGTAACGCAGCTTAGAGGGGAAATGTATTAAGCCAATGCCACGCCCAATACGCACACACAAGTGGCCGTGTCCTTGTTGGTTTTGGGCGCCGCCTACAAAACACACAGCCACACAAACATTGACAATTGACAATACCGCTTACCAACACTCACAAACACACACACACCAATTCTGCAGGTACATGCATACACATATACATATATATATTTATATATATATATATATATATAACTAAATATATATATATGAAGATATGTTAAGTGAGGACTGCGCCATTTACTTACCTATGGTCGATATAAATGTGGATGTGAATGCATCATCCGAGAAACGGAATAGTATACATGTCTTTCCAACGCCGGAATCGCCAATTAGCAGAAGTTTAAAAAGTAAATCGTACGTTTTCTTTGCCATTTCACGTTACGGCACTCGCACAACACACACACAAACGCACGCACCCACACGCACACGCACAAACACGCTCACACTTACACTGGCACTTGCACTCACAGGTTCTTTATAGAACAAAGCACATACGCATATACAGAGTGGACGACACAACTATGTCGATTGTATTTTGCCTTTGGTATGTTTTCTATTTGTTGCAATTTGCACGTAGCTTAATTGTCCAATCAAAAAATCGCTACAGAACTTTTATACGTTTTAAGCACTTTATTTTTCTACGCAATGCAATTGTTGCTGTTCACTTTAAGTGTGACCGCAGCACGAAATGAAAAAAATGCACACACCTCGTTTTCACGAGAATGCAACTCTGCCAAGCTCGCGACCTACATCAACATTTGATGCGTACTTAATTTGCACTACAAACTCACTTAAATGCATATATATATATAATCCAATAAATCTAGTTGTGCTAGAAGCTAATCTAGTATTTCGAACTATTTACCATCTTATCGATACTTTTTGTGCGGCAAGCAACTCTGTGTGCTGACGTTAATCAACACTGCAGTCGCGACATACATATAAACAAGGGTACACAATAAATAAATATAAATTGTAAACGTTTTGATTTGTGCACAACATGGATCTGGACTGGCAAAACAGTCTGACAGAGATCAAAGATCGTGGCCAATATCTGTTACATTCAGAAAAATGGGCCGATTGCCGCTTTCTCGTTGGCACACCGCCCAATCAACGAATTATATCGGGCCATAAGCTCCTTTTGGCGATGGCTTCGCCTGTTTTTGAGCGAATGTTTTTTGGGAATTTGCCGGATAAAACGGATCCGATCATAATACCCGATGTACAACCGGAGGCGTTTGAAGCGATGCTCGAGTACATCTATACGGATCGCATAACAATTGGCTCTTTCGATAAAGCCTGCGAGCTATGCTACGTGGCCAAGAAATATATGCTTCCACACGTGGTAACACGCTGCACCCACTTCCTATGGGCGGATCTGAGTCCAAAGAACGCCTGTCGTGCTTACGAGTTCGCCAAACTGTTCGATGAGCCGCGCCTCATGCAGAGCAGCATGGATCTAATCGCTGCCAACACCAGGGAAGTGCTCTCCGATCCCAGCTTCCTTGACATTGAAGTTTCCACTCTGATGGCCATATTGGATCAGCATCGTTTGAATATTGACTCTGAGTTGGATTTGTTCAACTGTCTGTTGAAATTTGCCAGCGAACGCGGCATTTTGAATGAAAATGGCAACGAAGAGGAGGCCAGTGGAAGTGGAAAATCTGCCGTCTGTGCGGAACAAGCAGCTGCAGCTGCCAATGATATGATCGAGGAGATCAAAATGGAGCCCGATGTGGCGGCCATGGTGCAGCATATGCACCAGGATGAGGATGTTGAGAGCTATAAGCAGCCCACTGGCAATGGCTCCGCCGGCAGCTCACCCATTCATCCAGCCAGCAGCAACTGCTCCTCATCGACATCGAACGCAAATGTTAGCGCTGTCATAGTCCACGATGATGTGGTGATCATTGACAGCGATGCGTCGGGCAATGCCAATGAGGAGGAGATGAACGCTGCCGAGGCAGCAGCCAACATGATCAACATGATGGATGCACAAAGAACGATCATGGATGGCGCCATGCTGAGGCAGGCTGTCAAGAAGATACGCTTCCTCACCATGACACCACAACAGTTTGCCGAGGGACCGGCACGCTCCAAGCTGCTCCAGCAGCACGAAGCCCTGGCCATACTTATCAAAATATCCAGTCCCACGTTGAACGATTGCAATATGCCGGAAGGATTCTGCGTGTCGCGGAGCACGCGCAATTTTTATGAGTCGGCGCATAGGCAGAGGGAGCTCAGCTCCTCATATCGGAGCAGCAATAATCCGAACGCGAATGCGTCCAACGGCTTTCCCGGCACCACCACGCGCACCAATCAGCCACTCTTCACACGACAACGCATCAGCGTGCCGCTCAACCTGGGCGCCAATGCCGGCGCAGCGGCAGCTGCTGCTGCTACCGTTGATCACCTGCCAAGCTATGGCTTTAGCTTCGGCGACGAGCCGCTTCCCTTGCCCAACGGCGCCGCCTTTGGCGAAGCCTACGACGGTGCACTTCCAGCCGCTGCTGCAGCCGGAGCAGCAGCTGCACCAGCAGCTGTTCCACCTGGCAACGATAACGATGTCATTGTCGCCAGCAATTCGCATCACGATATGACACGCTCCTACTGCATGCGCTCCATAGCCAGACAGTTCGATTATCGCAACACCAGCGTCACCGATTGTGGAGTCACCTTTCAGGTAGGCACGATGATCAGGCGATAATATACCTTTGAAAGCCAGCTAATTATGCTTTCTATCACTCAAGGTGGACACGAACATTTGGATATTGGGCGTGCAGGTGCCGACGCAGGTGCTTTGCGGCGAGCTGATGCATTCAGCTAGCTTTGCGGAGCGATACACTGAGGTGCTCTATGCCCACATACAGGACATGCACGGTTCGCGCATCACGTATACGCACTGTACGGCCAGGGTGCGGTACGATTCGCATTTGGATATCACATTCGACCGGCCCGTCTATATCTATCGCAACCAGATCTACAAGATCTACGTGGTCTTCAACAAAATGGGCTGGTATCCGATGTATTCCTGTGTGCCCGACACGGTCAGGCAGCGCGTCAAGTTCATGTTCAATGTGGGCAATCCGACGGAATCGGTGCGCGACGGCCTAATCTATGCAATTATATTCTCGACGCCGCAGGATCATGCGCGGCATTTGATCGATTGATTGTTAAGTGGCTGAACAACAGCAACAGCAACAACAACAATAACAAGCGATCAACGAATTTGAGATGTGATAGATTTTTGTTTCAACCTTCTTGCTTCCTTTCACGCCACTATTATTTTCGATAGCACAGTGAAGGCTGCCACCAACGGACGACTTTACAGCGTTACCCCTTCCTTTATTCTTCTAGATTTGTAGTCAGCTTCTGTTTTATTAATAAATATATATACACATATGAAAAGAACGAGAAAAAAAAACGGGCATTCGGGCTGTAATGGCGTGTGTGTGCACAGGGTATCTGCTAGTCATGCACTGCCGACTAAGGCACTCCTCTCTGTTCTTTATACAGTTGAGCTTGTATCTGGAATGCTTGAAACCGAATCTCGAGCGGCGCTCGAGGTGTCTTGTAGTCGAGCATTCCCGCCTTCTCATGACTTTTGACTAGTAAACTCTAAGCTCCTAGTAAGCTTTAAATAGATTCTTAATAGACACTCTAGTTAAATATCATATAAGTTATAGATACTTTTGTCTATTGTATAGTTGATTGAGACACTTTCTATCAAAAATTTAGTTTTTGCCTACATTAATTTAGCTTGTTTTCCAGATACCTCGATTATAATTAAGACAAAATTTTACATATATATATGATATCGGGGTATGCTTATATAATACTAGATAGATTAAAAGTGTTTTAGATTAGATTAGATATCTATAGATATATATACCTCAATTGAAGTTCAGCTAAATAGATCTTATATATCTTTGATATACCCCAGTAACTCTTTCGGCCTGCCAGTGGCAACTGTGTTTGGAGGCTTCCTTTAAGGCCTCTTCTAGGCTTAGCCTTAGCTTCTACAGATACAATTAAAAATATATGTCTATAAAGAAGTTGTGGTTTCAAAAATATTACAATAAATAAATTTAAACTTTATTGCATTTAGAGCTCAATTGGAAAATAACAAAATATAAAAGAAATATACAAAAATTATGTAAATTGATGAAGAAAAAAACAGATTAAGATTATCGATAATTATTGCAATATTTGATGCAAGGACATGGGCGCAGAGCCAGAGAGCAGGTGTGCAAAAGGAGGGAGAGAGCGAGACAGATGCAGATAGAGAGAGAGACAGAGAGGGAGGGATGAAGGAGAGAGCGACAGCGAAGCTTTACATATGTACAGTTGAGTGTGAGCTGCTTTGTTGTTGAACTGTATCTTCTTCTTCTTCTTCATGTTCAATTCATTTTGGAGCGGCTACGGTCACACTATTTGCCATAGTTGGCACAGCCACCGCTGGCATACTCGGGCTCCTCGCAGGTGAGCGTGTGCTCGTCGAACACCTTGTCCTCGCCGCAGCTAATCAAACGTGGATAGCCCTCGACGCAGGTAATCAAGCGATGGCAATCGCCCTGCACGGGGAACCGGGGGAAGGGCCAAAAGCGCGCGGCCACCGAATTGGGATCGACTTTCGTGGGACACTTGAAGCCAACGACAGCTGGAAGAGAAATCAAGATATATTAAATAGAGCTGGGCGTTAATCGATATGTATCGATCACTCAATAATGTTCGATTCGCATTGTAGTTCATGAACAATTGATGAGAATCGTCAGATTGTTAGATTGTTAGTCAAATGAACTATTCATAGTTCAGTTCGTTGATTCAATTAGTTCAGTAGCTCATTAAATGATCCATAGTGTTTGTAAGCTTATAAATGGTTCGCATTGATCAGCTAATAACTTGCTGATTCACTTGTGATCGATAGCTGATTGGCTCAAAAGAACGTATAGTTCATGAACAACTCAACTCTGATCACTGATCACTGATCACTGATCACTGTTTAGCATTAAGTAGCTCATTTGAATAAGTTGAGCTGTCTGATCATAAGAACGTTATGCTAGAAATGCTGTTCAGCCACATAATATATATATATAACTGATCAATATCAGTGATCAGTGAGTTGAACTAGTTCACTTGAATAAGTCATGCAATGGAACTGTTTCTTAGATCGCAATTGCAGCTGTTATCTTGGGCTATCTAGCTCGGTCACTCACCCTCGGGATTGCAGTGGTCCAGCAGCTGATCGGGCCAGTTGCAGCCATGGATGCGCTCATCGTACGCTAGGCCCGCATCGCAGTCCTGTTCGTGGGGCTCGCCGTGGGCGCATTTGATGTAGGTGGTGGAGCACTCCTTCGAAACGGCATACAGACCAAATTGATACTCGCAGCCAGGTGTCGAAATGGGCGTGGCTAAGGCAGGGAAAGGGGACAAAGAAAATGCGACAGACAGAGAGAGAGAGAAAGAGAGAGAGAGAGCAATTAATATCTCTAACTGAAATCGTATTCGTATTTCGAGCTCGTTACTCACGATCCCAATGACGACCCTTGCAGTCGACCGCCCAGTTGTAGTTGCAGTGATTGTGGACCGCGCCTTTGCCGTCGAAGAGCAGACCGTTCTCGCACGTCTCCAGGGTCAAGGTGCCATTGGTGCAGAGGAAGAACTGATCACAGTTCTCGGTGTGGGCGTAGGCCTGCACGCCATACTTCTCGGGGCATTCGGGTGTGCCAACAGCCAGAGCATTTGCTGTAACATGATTAGAGATCGTTATCGTTATCGACAATCAATAAAAATATCGATATTTTCATGTTGCTTTGATAAATTTACATAACTTAACTGTGAATAAATAACTGTCGTTATCGTTATCGATCGCTGAGTATTTATAAACAATTTCGCCCTAAGTATACATATTTCCATCCACATGTCATGCCAAATAATGAATCGCAACGCTCAAGATGCTGAATTCGTTATCGTTATCGATAGACATACATATTGCGGGAAGGCAGACTTATCGAGCCTAATAAAATGATCCACCCGGTGATCTCATTTTACTAAATCAATGTTGGTCTATTGAACTTCAATCAATTTATCGATAACATTTAAAAAAGTTGCGTCGATAACTCGACGGTTTTTCAATTAGCAGTATATCGATATTGTTATGTACATGCGCTATCGATATACATTTATCGATATATATATATATATATATATATATATATATATATATATATATATATATATATAAATGTTTAAGATTATCGATTTTTCGACAAACTAACGACAACAGTTATATCAGCTAATTTCAAACTAATGCGATTTAGGGTCATGCTAACTTTTTTCTATAAATCTTGTTATCGATAGTGCTTATCGATTATTAATCGATATCTATAAATTTCATTTTATAGATCCCTATCGGTTTTCAACATTTGTTATCGAAATAGTTTGTTGTCGTTAAATGTGTGTTATCATTATCGCTGGCGCCGTCATCACATTGTCCCGCACTTGGGGAAGTGTCGCCATCATTGCCATTCCCCACCGATGCCAATGGCCATTATTAAACTTGAAAGCGCGCACTTCCTTCCTACCAAGCAACTGGCAACTGGCAACTGGTTTCGCTAAGTGTGTTGCTGTCAGTGTTGCAAGTGCAAGTGTTGTAAGTGCTGTCAGTGTGCGTGTGAGTGTGAATGTGACAAGCTTACGGCTTACGGCTTTCGAGCATCTTCGCGTCTAGCGCCGGCGCCGGCGCTGGATGATGTAACCGAAGCCCAGAGACTGGCGACGTGTGATTTGCCTCGGGCAACGGGTTAAAGCACCGCAAACTGTTTTCATTTTCATTTACAGTTGCTGCTGATTTGTACGGTATTCGCAACTGTTTATGCATTTGCTTAACACTAGCTGAGATTTCCGGCAATTAATTTACCAACACTTATCGATAATTTGCTGTCCAAAAAAGCGTTTTTGCCAACCAAAATCAGTTTTGACTTTTTTAACGTTTTCGAATTTTTTTTTTTTATTTTTCGCTTTCAGTTTCGTCACTTCAACCTTTTGAAGTCGAACGAAAACTCGTTGGGCCGACAGCATTTCGAGACTTTGTGGCTTTTGTTTTTTATTTATTTATTTGAGCTCTAGATTTTATAATATTTAATGCGATTAGGTCTAATTATGAACTGGTTTGACGAGCCAAGTTCTGCTTTGACTTTGAAGCATTTAAATGTTTGGCATTTGTTTTAATTAGGGTTCGAATATGTATAATAAATACAAAATACACTGCACAAAAAAGGTGTGTATGAAGCTGAAATGCACAGAAAACCCGGGTGGTAAAACTTGCACGAAATAAATTAAGATTTCAACTCAGTTCCAGCATTTGCCAAAATACACTGCAACAAATAGCTCCTATTGCAACTGCTTTCTAAATATTAATATGTTATTTAGTATATTTAATCGTATTGTATTTATATAATTATTTATTTATTTATTATTATTTATATAATTATTTTTTTTTCGTAAATTTCTTAGTTTTATTTCTTGCAGTGTAGCGAGAAAAAACCTATATATAAACTATAAGCTCTTCCTTGGGCGCATTTTAAAAGTATTTTTGTACTTTTACGCATTTATTCAGTGCAAAAAAGCTGCATTGCAAAGTCTATAATTGAGTCACAGTTTAAATACTTTTTTCTCAGTGTACTTAACTTGCTTGGAGATAATAAAACAACAGTTAGCTGTATAGCTGTATATCAATATATACTGTTTTGATTCTAAAACTTTGAACTTTGACATTATTTTTGTCAGTGTACATGATTTTTCTAAATAACAACCTACTATAACTTCAAAAGCTGAGTTTCAACTCAAGTTCAAGCTTAATTTTGCAACCTAACATACATATTTTACAGTGTACAACTCTAAAACTCTAAGATCCTTAATTATATATGGCATAAAAATAGCTTTAATTGGAACTATAATATTTTCGTAATTAATTTCAGCTTGTTTCGAGCTTAGTTTAAGCGATAAGCTACATTTCTCTCAGTGTACCACGGCCATCTAGACATGGTCTGAGCACACAGCAGACAACTGGCTCAACAAAAGCAAAAGTAATAAACGATCAGCTATTGGAATACTGGATCTGCATGCCAAATGAGCTTGAGAATAGGTACGAACGTTGTTGTAATGGGGCGTATTTGAACGCTACAACCCCCTGCCACCTGCCACCTGCCCAATGCCCCCTGCACACTGTAAGCTGTTCAGGGTTAAACGACGGCGAGTTGCTGCTGCTGCAGCTAATTGGAGCAGAAAGCGGCGAGAGGGCGAATTGAAGCAAATCTTTGGCATAGCCTTGAAGCCAGCTGACAGCAGAGAGATAAATTCAATTCGAGAACAAACAGAAAGGAAAAAACCAAAAATAAAGAAAAAAAAAAAAACAAATTAGAAAAAGGTGCCATTCCATTCCATTCCAGTTCAGTGCTTGCAATTGGCTATTTATATTTCTTGCAATTATTTTTTGAAAGTAAAAGCTCGGCTCAGGGCTTAGCACGCAATGGAAGGGGTTGCGCTAATGCCAAATATGAGCATTCCAGTTGGCATTCCAGAGACCACAGTGTGCACATAACAACAGTAACAGTAACGGTAACAATAACAAAATGGCGGCTACTTACCGTAAGCAATGAATGCCAGGATCAGGACGCAGCTCAATTGGGCGCGTTGCATGTTTGCGGCGAATTCGAACAGCGAATAACTGAATAACCGAACAACAGCAACAGCAATAGCCGAAAATGGCAAGCAGGCGACAAAAAAAATTTATTCAAAAAAATAAACAAAAATAATAACGACAACGGCAAACAACAACAATAACAATGGCAATGGCAACGGCAGCGTTTCAATTTGAATTCAACAGCGCGACACTTGAAATTCCGCTGCACGTTTTAACGGTTACGCGTTCCAAACTCAACTGAAAAGATTTATACCGCGCTCAAGAAGAAGAAGCAGCAGCAGTGCCAGTAGCAGCAGCAGCAGCAGCGGCGCCGGCCGTAACAGCGACAGCGGCGACAGCAACAACAAAGTTTTGCAAAGCTTTATTTTTGGCGTTTCGTATTTGAATTTAGTTGCGGAGCAGCGCTGTGGATGGGAAGGAGGAAGTGAGGAGGGGGGAGGGGGAGAGCGCTATGCGGTGGGTGGTTGCTGGGCATTAAAAAGGGGTCGACAGGGGCAGAGGCTATGCGGGCGCAAGTACTTGTGTTCGTGTGTGTGCAGGCACTTAGGCAAGGCATATCATGCGTGTGTGTGTGTGCGCGCGCACGCGCACCGTTTGATCGAACAATTTGTGGTACAAAAACAAAAATGCAAAACGTGATTTGGGCTCTTGCTGCTGCTGCTGTTGTTGTTGTTGCAACTGGCAACATGTGTGATTGAAAGTAAAAGGCAAAGCTCGAGCAGCCCGTAAGCTTACCATTCATTGATTGCATTCGGGCCGCAGGCTTCGTGTCTCGGCTAAGCTACGTCGTCATCGTCATCGTTGCTTTTTTTTGTCTGCATTGTGTTTGCGTTCGTCTTGCCGATTACCGTTACATTGTTAACTATTGCAACACTGTGCGCCGTCGCTGCTTGCTGTTGTTGTTATTGTTGCTGCTGCTGTCTGTGTGGCCAGCGACGATTGCGTAACGTAACTTAGTCCGCTGCACTTCGTTTTAGCAGCCGAGCATAGCGACTGCATCGTCAGATTTGCCTTTGCAAACTTAACTGCATGTAAATGTGTGTGTGTGTGTTATAAATGTGTGTGTGCATACGAGCACTTCTTTGCAATAATATATACATATACACTATTTTATATATATTTGTACATATATTTATATACATATTATATTATATATATATTATATATGATACAAAATATAATTATATATACATATGTAAGGGTATTCAAAAGTCAGTATGCTTGTTTCTTTCTGTCGACTCTTAACCCGTTAGTGCCCAAATGCAATTAACGGTTATTGTGTTTTTGTTGACAATAGGTTAATAAAGCGCGCTCAGCTTGGATGGGAGAAGCAGAGGAAGTGAGGAAGAAAAGAAGACGGAGGAGTTGAGCAAGAGTAGGGGGAAACGGTATCCATTTCATCATGGGATGCGAATAGATTAAGTGTGCGAATTGTGGATATATTATTATCGATTTGTCCTCGATTTGCTCGTAATTAACAGACACATATATATATATATATATATATATATATATATGTATATCTTTTACATATGCTAGATAATTAATGGAAGGAAAATACTAGATAAACAAATGAAGAAAAACAACAATTGGCATTATTTCAAGTCTTGTTATTTAATCGAATGAGTTGGCAAATGGAAATGAACTGATTGTTGTTGTTGTTGTTGTTAGCGTTGTTGTTGCTGGCGTTGTTGCTGTGAATGTTGCGATCACTCGGTGATCTGGAAAGGGAGTCACAATAGAAAATGGGGTAACAAATAAGAAAAAGAAAGGGAGGATAACATAGGGAAATGAAGAGAGAGAGAGCGTTAGAGCAACTGGGAGAGATATAGAGAAATAGAGCGAGAGAAAGTGAGTGAGAGAGAGAGAGAGAGAGAGAGAATTCAATAGAAGTAGACAGAGATAGAGACAAAGAGAAAGAGAGAAACAGAAATGGACAAAGAGAGACAAAGAAAAAGATGGAGAGCGAAAGAGATGATAATCAGAAGTAGGATGTATATATAAATATATATAGAGATAGATACATAGAGAGAAAGTGAGAAAGAGGTAAATAGAGATCAAAAGAAGTTAACAGCGAAAAGGAACAAGAGAAGAGAGAGAGAGAGAAATGAAGCATGAGTGAACAATTGCAAAGTGATATAGACGTTGGTATATAGTATCTTTACAGTTAAGTTAAGATGATATTAAAAAGACTTAGCTATGAAGAAAACGTAACGATATGAAAGATAAACAAATGACCTCAGATATCAAAAATGTTCATTACAGATATGAGAGCAATATGGGATAGGCCATGATCAGTTCTGGAAAGGAATTATTATAAGTAAAGAGAAGTTATGAGAATAATATATCAAAATAGATAGAATATAATAAAAAGTATAGCCTAGAATGAAGGCTGGTCAGATAAACACGAGATAAAAAATCAAGGATCAAAGATCAATAAACAAAGATGAAAAGGCAAAGATCAAAATAGATGAAGAAAAAACAAAGTGGTTAAAAGAAAATCAGAATAATGAAACATATCGAACATTATAGTATGTATGTAATCAATAGATACGATGTTTGAGAATGGGGAAAGAATAGTATAACAGATTGTAATAGATAGATAGATAGACAGATAGTTTATAGAAAACAGTTTATTATTTTTTATTTTTGTTTTTGTTGTTTTTTTTTTTTAAACAAAGAGGAAATATGTACACAACGATAGAATAGTTAAAGAGCACAGATAAAGGAAATGCGGAATATAAAAGAGAAAGATAGAGAGGGAAAGTATGTGTGTTTAAGAAAGGGAAAAATAGAAAGTGTAACTCGTTGCAAAAAAATAGCGAGTCAAAAGTAAAGAAATTAAGGAGTCGTGCGTCAAAGGTAACGAATAGCGAGTCAAAAGGAACGAGTAGTGAGGCCAAAGTTATATAAGTAACGAGTAGCGAGTCAAAAGTAACGAGTATCGAGTCAAAAGTAACTAGTAACGCTTTGCGAAGAGGCTAGCAACGACTTTGAGTTTAACTGACTAAAACGCGCGTCCATCAGCTATCCTGTCAGTCCGTCCAAGTGTAACCGAATGTGTGTGCGTGTGTGTGTGTGTGTGTATGTGTGAATTTAACTCTGCATTAGACGCGCGCAAGAATGGGGCGTATATATTTTGTTTTGTTTTTTTTTTTTTTTTTTAATTTTTATGGTATCGGCGGATGAGATGAAGCTCAGCTCCTGGCTGCAGGCTTCTTATTATCATCGTCGCTGGTATCCTTGTACCAGTCCTCGCAGCCTGGCACATTTTCGGGCGCATCGCACATCTCTGTCTCATCGTTGTAGACCTCGCCCAGCTGGCAGCCCAAGTCTCTGGGATCCTCGCCGTTTAAGCAGACATAGAACTTTTGGCAATCGGTGGGATGAGGATATTTCGGATGGGTGACAACCTGGCCGCGCGCATCCATTTTGGGCTGATCCTTGGGGCACGAGAAGCCGCTCGCCGTTTTTTCTAAAGTTACGAGCAGAGAGTAAAAGAGGGACAATGGGTAAATTTTGCTTGTCATTTGATTTTAAGGAATTCTCCACTCACTCTCTGGATCGCTGCAGCCTTCACGCTTAGCCGTATCCGGCCAGACGCAGGTGCCGGAATATTCATCGAAGTGCAGACCAACGGTACACTTCATTTCCAAAGCATCGCCATTGATGCAATTGTAAAAGATGTTGCAAATGCTCGCCTCCGGATGGGCAAAGAAACCATTTTTGCGCGGACAGAACTTTGTAGACTTGGGCTCCTCTATAGTATACATATACACACATATATATTAAATATTTACTGGATATTTGTGCGATTACTTACGCAACAATGTGCGGTCCTCGCAGTCCACATTGAAGGGCTGATCGCATTTGTTGATCTTGCGGTTCAATGGATCGAACACAAGGCCATCTGCGCACAGTTTTGGCGTGGCCACACCTTCATCGCACTGGTAATATTTGTCGCATTGCTCTTCATCGGCAAATTGGCCATTGGGCTTAGGACATTCAAATTCGCCAGCAGCGCCTGCGTAAAGAGAGAGAGAGAGAGAGAGAGTTCATTAAACTGTTGCCATGCTTTCACTAAGACCTCGGTTTCCTGCTTTTCAAAAGTGTAACAGCAGAAAAAAAAAAAAGAAACAACTGATCGATTGATCGATTGGATTTTTTCTCCATTTTTTATTTATCTCATTTTCCTGTTTGCGGTTGCATAAGCGCACGCCCAGTCCCAGTCCCAGTTCCAGTTAACAGTTGAACAGTTGCCAGTTCCAGTTTCAATTTTTCATTCCAGCGCCAGCCGGTTTAACGTTTACCCGTTTCGCGCCCCTTCCACCTTTGCCATCTCCATCCCACACACACACACACCCATTAAATCCATGCAAATGGCAACTTAAATGTCAGACAGGGTCGACCCATGGCATATAAAAGAACGCAATGCAATACACATAATTATGTATATACAATATATATATATATATATATATATATATATAGCTATTCAATTGCAAAGCCAGCATATACCGTTAGCTAACGGACACAAGCTGTTAGCTGCGAGCACAGCTGCGCACACTAATGCAAACACATGCGTACACACATGCGTAGCCAATGCCAAGCTGATTAGCACAAAGTTGCCAATACGAGATCTTAATTTATTTATATATTTACATGTTTTTTTTCCATAAAATTTAAAATTAATGTATATTTTGTCACTCACTTGTCGCCGCCACACAAAGCATCACAGCAATGGCACATAAAAATAATTTCATTTTGTTTCTTTGATTTACAACTAAATTTATAAAAAAAAATATATGTACGCTCCTTAAAGCAGGAGTTGGAAAAAAATTATGGTTCCTTTCTGCGGCCAACTAAATCGCGACTTAAGCGTGCGATGGTTAAACTTAAACTAACAACGGAACGCCAAAGAGGCGCACTTTTCAAGACTTTTTTACCGGCAACAGCGCAACGGCTAACGCGGCGACGCCAGCAGCGCCGTTAACGTCGAAACGTTGGCGACGATGATGCTTGGGCGCAGGCGCTAAGCAATAGCCTGGAAGATGGCGGCGGTGGCGGCGGCAGCGCTGCCCGAAGCACAACGGGGCAGCGAAGAAAGGCAAGGCAAAGGCAAAGCAAAGCTGTAATGAAGCAAGTAAATACATACATTTGTTTGTTTGTATGTAAATACATGCGCATATCTGTAGATATGTGTGTATGCACGGGAGTGTGTGTTCAATTTGTATGTGACTGATGAAAAAATGAAAATAAAAGAGCTAACAAAAACAAATAATAAAATTCATATGCGCCAACGCTTTAACCGAAACTTTGCCGGGTTAACGACGTGCATGCAAATGCTTCGACAATTTACAGCAATAAAAAAGTCCAAAATAACCAAAAAAAAAAAACAACGAAAATCAGTTAAGTGGACAAAAAAAGCAGACGCAAATGGAAGACAAAAGCCACAAAACCTTTCAAATCGCAGCCATAACAAAAGTGCAGCTGTATATGTATGTGTGTGTGTGTTTGTCTTTCTGCATGCACAAGTGGCAACACTTTATAAATAAATAAGTGCACTGCAGCCTTTCTCTTGCATGGTCAGCCTTGCCAGATGCCAGGACACATTTGCCTTGCTGCAAACTTAAAATGGCGAGAACCACATTTATATATATATATACATATATACATTTATATATATATATATCTATATGTCAAAACAATCAGATATATCTGTGATTAACGAAATATACATAATATACATATATGTAAATGCGATTATATGCTAAATATGACGCACACGCAATGCCCCGAAAAGAAAACAACAAAAACCCGTTGTCCTTGGGCAGCCGGCAAAACAGCGCAAGTTTGTTAAAAACAAAAAAAAAAGTTTTAAAAAAAGAAAAAAAAAAATGGAAAACAGGCTGACCCAACCTATAAAGCAGTTAGCAACTAGTTAAAGTTAATTTAATATAAACATACACATACACATACACACGTAACTTTTACTCTCGTTCGAGCCACATACAGAAAACAGCAAAAAAAATGGCAGTCTGGCAACTTCGAGCGGCTTCTAAGAAAAAAAAACAACATTTAAAGTGAGCAATTTAATTGCAAATTATGCGCGTTTCGAATTGTAGATATCATTATAAAGCGTTTCCCTATAGCGACACACAGATATACTAAGTTTTATATACAAACACACAAATACATCTGCATACAAACCGCTTTTGCAATTAGCAAAAAAAAGAGCCATTGAAAAACTGTTAAAAAACACTATTTGTTGTTGTAACTTCTGACAGATGCGCTGATTTATCATGAACAACAGCATCATTATTGGCATTATCATTATCAAGTTGCTGCTTGGTAAGATTTTGTAATTCAAGGTTTTTTTTAGCTTAAGAGAAAAAGAAAAAGCTTCAACGTTAATTTGGCTACCAAAATAATCAACAAGTTTGCTCTAAGCACAAAATAATCGACTAACGGTTACCCAACACATCAACTCTAACCTCAATTTCTACTGCACTCTAACCATCCTATGAATCAGTAACTATATGAATTTAACATAAGCATAACATGAACTGAACGACTAACAGATACCCTGGCAAACTAGCCTCTTAGCTCTAGAAACAAAACTAACCTTACTTATTGGCTTACTCTAACCTCACTTTCATATTTTGATTTGCATAAATATTAGGAACAAATAGATCATACCCCTTTTGTAATCAGATTGTACAGGGTATTGACCATCATCTGCTTTGGCGATTCACACAAATGAGTTAATTTTTAAAGGGGATTACGAAATCAATGCATATGCAATTTATAGGTCATCCAGTTTTTTTTCTGTTTTGTTTCTTTTACAAAATCAAGATGCGCCAACCCAAATAACAGCTAATTGATGAAGAGGAAGAGGACCAGAGACAAAAATATCAAAGAAATATGCATATGAATAAAAAGTTGACAGAGAAAAACAAACTTAAAGGCAGGGCTGGCAGTCAAAAGTGAACGAACCGCCAACTATGTCAAAGTCAAAGTGTGTGTGAAAGTGTGTGTGTGTGTGTGGGTGCCATAAGGTAGAGCTGACTATTAACTCTCTTCACATGGCATTTGTTGCCGTCAGGTCAGCTAAAACAATTAGCAGTTAATTACAAACATACATACATATGTATATGAAGGGTCACTTAATATGCCAATTGTAAACGATTGTCCCGTTATGTTGCAGTGCATGACAATCGCATTGAAAATGACAATGACAATGCCAACAAGTTCTCTCGTTAAGCTTTCTATTTCCATTCTTACGATTTCACTTGACGACCAAATGCGTTGAGCATTAATTAATGCCAGCTTGATAGTTCAACAAAACCACATTTTTCTTTTATTCAAGCAATCATTCAAGCAATGTCTGCAATTTACAAAGATATTTTTGAATTTCGGCGCACTCAAAGGCGTTGCCAGCTTAAAGTAATGCAGTTATTTTTTAAATTTTGCGGGCACACACAGACGCTGACAACTTAAGGCAATGACATAATTTGGCACTCTCATATATACATTTATTATACACGGATTACAATGGTTTTTATATTATTTACGTTAATGAGTGCTAGCAGCTTAATTAAATGTTTCAATATACGTTAAAAGCTCATCAGAAAGCAATAACTAAAGTGCTGTCACACTCGTCAACCAGCTAAAAGGTGGACAGTATTTTTCATATATCGATTACTTGGTATTTTTTCATTGATATTTACGGTTACACTAGATCTATTCGCAAAACATTGCAGTCGCGTTTTCAATTGGAATAAAATGTTATTTTAATTACAATTGGAATATATACAATTAGTTTGCAAACAACATTTCAAGGTGCGTTGTTAAAAATATGTTAAGTCTAAGTGTGTGCTGTTGTGTTCTTTTGCTGTACGGCTGTGAAAAAAAATGGGCCCACCAGCGAAAAAGTGGAAAACGACGTCACAACGTCGACAGCGCTGTCACTGCCAAAGCAAATGCTGCTGCTTCAGCTCATCTTTGAGTATTGATTTTTGCTTGGATGAGTGTGTGCGTGAATATGTGAGAAGCTATGTTGGCTGCAATACAATTTGCACACACACGCAGGCAAAGTTAACTTTTGGCCAGTTATTGTCGTTGTTCTTGTTGTTGGTGGTGACATCATCAAGCAGCTGCGCTTACCACTATTGCTTACAACTGATTCATTGTTTTGCCTTTTTCTATTTTCTTTTTTGCTGCAGCTTTCGAACTGCACTTGCTGTAGTAGTAGTTGTTGTTGTTGTATTCCCGTGTTCGCCTGAAAATCGCCCACCCCCTACTCCTTACTGAAGAGCAGCAGCTGTGAACAGTGTCGAGCGTTGCCACACCTCAAAAATGGATCGAAAGGCTGAGCTGGAGCGGAAAAAGGCCAAATTGGCAGCACTGCGCGAGGAGAAGGATCGCCGGCGCCGCGAAAAAGAAATCAAAGACATGGAAGAGGCAGCCGGCCGCATTGGCACCGGCACTGGCATCGACAAGGATCAACGCAAGTCAGTTAACCTATATATATAAATATATAGCATTAATAAATACATTGCATTATAATTATTCAATTTGCTTGCAGAGATTTAGATGAAATGCTTTCGTCACTAGGCGTTGCGCCCGTTTCGGAAGTGTTGTCCTCGCTGTCGTCAGCCAATTCGCTAACCTCGGATAATTCCAATACACAAACGCCCGATGTCAGCCTACAGGCAAATGTCAATGGACAGGGGTATATATAGATATATATTTTAAGCATAGCAGCAATTGCAGTGAGCAACATATGTTTAGGATTTGTTCAAGCTTGCCAGCAAACGATTTAGACTAGACTTTGTTTTAGCTGCAAATGCCTGTATATTGTATACTGTTCTATCTAAACTCTTGCATATTATCTAACTGTTTTACCGTTATATCCTAGCGCCGGCAAGAAGCAACCTTTGAATCTGAGCGTCTATAATGTGCAGGCCACAAACATTCCACCAAAGGAGACGCTCGTCTATACGAAGCAAACACAGACCACAAGCACCGGCGGACACGAACGTGATGGTATGATATATATCTGAATCATATACTCTACATGCACATCAATAATTAACTATGCTAGCTAGTATATAATACCCTTAACAATGTCTTACATTATATATATATATATATCTATACTATATATATGTATGGCTCCTGTGTAAACACTTTCCATAGTTTGTTTCCTACGAGTTATGTTTTTTTTTTGTTTTTCTTTACGTTAGTTATACTCTATATGTTTGTCTTTCTGAAATTGTCTGTATGCTTGCCCCGAACTACAGTATGTAATCGCGACGCTTAATTAACCTACTACAAATCCTTTTCCCATTATTTGTATTGCGCATCAAATACTCGAATCAGATAACTGATCTATATATATATATATATATATATATATATATATATATATATATATATATATATATATATATATATATATATATATATTTAAGATATAGAGAGCAAGCAAGCATTTAACATTTAAGTGAAATTCAATAACAAATACAGTTCTTTCTTGCCACTCATCGCCTCTGTCAGGATATATGGAGGATTGGTGGCGTCCACGTAAAGGTATTAAACATAGTCTTAAGCAGCGAAAACAATTTAGACAACAGCACACAATACATAATGGTAACCTCTCTCTGTCTATAACAGATATGCTAGATGTATACACATACATACATAAATAGATATATACACTATACACCCGCTCTATCTCTCTCTCTCTCTCGCTCACATTTTTCTTCATATCAATTTTATAGATCTTATGTTTTTTTACTATTGCATACGCTAAATATTTTTATTTTTGTGTATTTTAGGCATTTGTTTGAGCGCAATTTAATATTAATAATTTGTCTATTTACATTTTTCTTCCAACTTTTTTTATCTGTTCCTTGGTACGCACGCAAAAAATAAAAAAATATAAAAAAAAAAATAACTGCAGCTCATGCAACGGATTATTATGGTGAGTAGTTGTTGACTTTTCTCTATGTAAACTATCCAAGAATATTACCCCCAAAAAAGAAGAAAAAGAAATTGAAAAACCCTATCTATATAGCCCACCAACTATTTTTCTTTCTCTCTGTATATCTCTCTCTTGCTCGCTCGCTCTATGTAGCTTACTCGCTCTCTTTATTTATCTATGTATCTCTCTCTTAGCTCTCGCTAGTTTTTTTATATGTTTTAATGTAGTAGATCTATCCATAGTGCCTGTTGAACATATACTAAACAGAGTTATCTATATAAATATATATATACATATATATATTTATCAGATTCTAGAGAATTTGCTTATGCTATTCCCCCTCCACTATATCCATTTAATTATATTTGCATTTTATTGAGATATATATTTTCCATATATTTAAATATGTAGAGAGCATACAATATTCAGTTTGTATCAGCATTATATATATTATATATATATATATATCTTAACGAACGCATATCAGATTGTTCAACTCCACCCAATTTATAAGTTTTTTTGTTATTAATTTGTTTAAGTAGCTGAATTCACTTAAGTTTTCTTTTTAATTATTAATGATAATATTATTGCATATTTATTTAATATATAAACAAAAATATTGTTTCTTAAGTAGGAAACGAATAAGAATATTGCTTTGGATCCTTACTTTATTATTTTGCGATTATACGGCGTAACAACTGTTATACAGTATAACAGTTTGACTACTTTACGCTAGTCTTCAAATTTGTGTTAGGCGAAATTTGCCTGGTTTTATTTCCCATATCTATTGTCTAGCCAACAATTTTCCAACCCAAGTATCGAGTATATCTATATAAATTCATATATATACATACATATAAATAAATCTGATTGATTATAAGCTTAAGTCTACACACAATATGTAAGACACGCCTACACACACACACATATCCAACACGAATGCATGTAAAAGCACAGAAAATATGTACTATATAAAAAATACTTTATATATATATATATATATATATATATATATATATATATATTAGTATTTAGAGCAGTTGCAAAAGTTAACATTGTATTATAATTTATAAATGTCGCCGCTCTTGGTCGACTTGTGTGCTAATTGTATTTAATTTTTTACTATTTTTATATCGAATTCGTATCATGATTTATGTTTTATCTATATGCTACAGATATATCATATAACACGTCTCGAAACATACATATATATATGCCATATAATCGGTTGCTTTTATCGTTTTGTTCATCATTTAATGCCTTTTGTTCAAAATCACAAAAAAAAAAATATTTAAGGGCGGTTAAGCTCAACATTTGAGCCTCGGAAAAAACGAGTTGAGAAGAAAAACCAAATGAACTAAAATGAACAACTAAAATGTGTATATGTACAATATATTTTGTTTCTTTATATTTCTTCAAGATGAATACAATCTTAATCCGGGTTTAGAGTGGGAGGATGAATTCACAGGTAGGTACATCTCAAACAAAAGGCAAGAAAAAGAAAAACAGTGACGGGAATCGTGACATGAAGCAAAATAGGAACGTAAACAAATTCTAACTATATCAAAATAAAACAAAAAAATAAACTTCGCGCTGGCTGACACACACACACACATACACACACAGAGCTATATACACTATCTCCATTTCTGCGCTCGCGTTTTCCCTCTATGTCTCCATCTCTCTCGCTCTGTACAGTTAAAAAAGCCCCTGCCTACATGCATGATCTTCCATTTTGTATGTGCCTAACCTGAAATTCAATTTAAACCTCAATTCATTTTCATTCATCTATGCTAATTTCGTGCCACTAATTCTTGATTAAATCAAAAGAAAAAAAAAACTGGCTAACAAAAAGATCTAAAACATACCTTTGAAGACAAAAATATTCTTTAATTTTCTGTGGGGAATTGTCTAGCGCTTTTTGGTCCCTGTTTCTCTCTCCTTTCTTCACACAAACACATACACAGACCTCTTACTCTCTCGATCTGTCTGTCTCGCTCACTCTCTTAACAAGCACAGCAAGCGAAGCGCGTTTTAGGCGGCTCTCTTAAATGTACCGTTAAGTGTGTTGTCACTAATAACACGCAGCACACGCAACCAAAAGCGACCTCTATCGGCTCTTTATGTTAAATGTTAAATTAATGCAATGAAAAATGAAATAGAAAAATATATATTAATATATGTAATATATAATTAGCATAAATACATAATTTTAAGTGCAAAAAGTTTATAAACTGGGTGGAGAAGCAAAAAAAAAAAAACAAAAACAATTGATCAAATATTTAATGATACGAATTAGTGAAGCAAGCAAGAAGTGTCCACAGAGTGTAAACCCAAATACGTAATACATAATAATAATACCTCAAATATGCCTCCTTATATCTATTTCTCTCTCTATCTTTCTCTTATGCTGCCACGCTACATAAATATATATACATACATATATATATATATATTTATATATACATACACACATACATATATATTAACGGCGTATCAGTTTATCGAAAATTGTACATTTTTTTCAATTTTCATATATTTTTATTTATTTTTTATTAATTGGCTTTGTGTATTAAGTTGTACGGTGTCCAGCGTATAGCACAACTAACAGCATCTATACATACTTACACACACACCACACACACACACATGTACGCACGCACGCACATCTCTTATACGATATTGTACTTGTGTAAAAAAAACTATTAACTCCTTCGTATAACACAAGTATAAGCGAGCGAGCGTGTGTGTGCGTCTATTTCTCTCTCGCTCGGTCATGCACCTGACATCCCTACCTTCTCTTCGTTCTGGCCTATTCACACTCACACACGCAGTTGTGTGGAGGCAATTAGCACATGAAGAAGAATTTAGATTGTGCGCTCTCTTAATAGTTTCTCCCCTCGCTCTTTTTCCACTTTCACAATCACACACACATCCACACTGACACACAGAAGCCCTGTAATAAAGCCAAGACAAATAAATATAAAATGAAGTTGAAAAGATATAACAAATTTTGCAAGCAAGACAGAGACAACAATGCAAAAAGTAACTTAATGTAAAAACCAAAAAAGAATCCGTTAAAGCAGCTAAACAAAACCAAAGAGATAAAGAAAACCAAACAATCCAAATACAAGTAGAATTGTTCCTGTTCTGTCGATTGTCATGTTCCTTTAGCTGTGTTAGTTTTATACATTAAACAGTGCTTGCATTTGATGCCCAAGGAGATGACGAAGAGAGCTCGCTGCCACATCTGGATCATGGTTTTAGTTCCAAGCTGCCGCCTGGCTATCTCACTCACGGTCTGCCCACGGTGAAGGATGTGGCCCCAGCCATAACACCGCTCGAACAAAAGAAGGAACAGGAGGAGAAGAAGGAAGGTGAGTAACAACGGGCTACTAGAGATGTGCGCCAGACTATGTAACTGTCGTAAAAAGAATGAGGCTTGTCTTTTGAGCGCACATCTCTAAATTTAAACTTTGCCCGTTTGATGGCAATGGGAACTGTTTTTTTTTATGTTAATATTTACCGATTAATTGCAGTCAAGGAACTATCGGAGGAGCAAAAACAAATGATCATCTTATCGGAGGATTTTCAAAGGTTCGTATTGCGTGCAGGTCGTGTCATTGAACGTGCTCTCTCGGAGAATGTGGACATATACACCGATTACATTGGCTGCGGCGATAATGAGGAGGCAAACGATGAACGCTCGCATGCTCGTCTCTCACTGAATCGTGTCTTTTACGATGAGCGCTGGTCCAAGAATCGCTGTATCACTAGCATGGATTGGTCCACCCACTTTCCGGAATTGGTTGTAGCCTCCTATCACAACAACGAGGAGAGTCCCAATGAACCAGACGGCGTCGTTATGGTCTGGAATACGAAGTTCAAGAAGCAAACGCCCGAGGATGTTTTCCATTGTCAGAGTGCCGTGATGTCCACCTGCTTTGCCAAATTTAATCCCAATCTAATACTCGGCGGCACATACTCCGGTCAGATTGTACTTTGGGATAATCGCGTACAGAAACGTACGCCCATACAACGCACACCATTGAGTGCTGCTGCCCATACACATCCTGTTTACTGTCTGCAAATGGTGGGTACACAGAATGCTCACAATGTCATCTCCATATCATCGGATGGCAAATTGTGTTCGTGGTCCTTGGATATGTTGTCGCAGCCGCAGGATACGCTGGAGTTGCAGCAGCGTCAATCGAAGGCAATTGCCATTACATGCATGGCCTTCCCGGCCAACGAGATCAACAGCCTGGTCATGGGCAGTGAGGATGGATATGTCTATTCAGCTTCAAGGCACGGATTGCGCTCCGGCGTCAATGAGGTGTTTGAAAGGCATTTGGGTCCCATAACGGGCATCTCGACGCACTATAATCAATCGTCGCCCGACTTTGGGCATCTGTTTTTGACCTCATCAATCGATTGGACCATCAAGCTCTGGTCGCTCAAGGTAAATAGAGAGAACTGTCCCCGCTCTGTCGCCTTTGTCTTATCCACTATAAACACTCGGCTTATATATTTTGCAGGATACAAAGCCTTTGTACTCATTTGAGGATAACTCGGATTATGTGATGGATGTCGCCTGGTCGCCCGTTCATCCCGCTTTATTTGCTGCTGTCGATGGTAGCGGTCGCCTTGATTTATGGAATCTCAATCAAGATACCGAAGTACCAACGGCATCAATCGTCGTCGATGGTGCGCCAGCGCTCAATCGCGTCTCCTGGACGCCATCGGGTCTCCATGTCACCATCGGTGACGAGGCGGGCAAGCTCTATGTCTATGATGTGGCTGAGCATTTGGCGTTGCCATCGCGCGATGAATGGTCGCGATTCAATGCGACACTCAATGAGCTCAAAATGAATCAGAACGATGAGGTCTAAGCAGCAAACAACAACAGCAGCAACAACAACTAACCCAGGCATTAGTTTATAATAATGATATATGGAACAACAAAACAAAAAGCGTTTCGTTTATACACAAACAAAAAATCGTTATTATGCATCGCCAAAAAATGTTGGGGAAATATCTAATTTATATGCTTCAATTTATCATAATGCAATCATCCCCAGCCCCCCCTTAAATATGAAATATTTATTTATATGCTTGAGTGTATCAGAATTCAATCAAAATACAAGTCTTATACACGTTTCCACCCATATTCCACGATTGCGAGTTGGTTGCTTAGACTCGCCTTCAAGCGTAAAGTTCATTCAAAATGAATTTACACTGGCCTACATAAAATTCAAATAATACGATTGCGTTACATAATTGAAACGATTTTGAGTTTATAATACGACGAAACGTTTTGTTCTGATTTTGGTATTCTTTTTTTATAATTTATTTGATATACATATTAATAATATGTTTAGAACTGATTTCAATTTGTTTGCTATTCCAACTTTTTCCCCACGAGCTGTGTAAAAAAGAAAATTATATGAAGAAAAAAAGAAAGTTAATTATTAAAGTGGCAAACAAAACTTATGTACGCTTTTCTTTATATAATATACATAAAATAAAAAAACCAAATTTATATATATATATACATATATTATATATGGAGCGAACAAGTTGAGAATTGTATTTGAAATGTATGATAAAAAAATATAAGAAAAGCTAAACTAAACGAGATTAAATAAAGATAAAATGAATATACATAAAAAAAACCATATCTTTACACTCATATATATATACAATATCTTAATCATCTACATGAATCATGCGAATGGAATGCGTATTATGTGAGCGAGTGCCAAATGCATTGCCTTTTGTATGGCAAAGCCGTAGTTAAAGCGAAATTAAAAGCTTTTCTAGCAACAAAAAAAGCTTCGCCCCACGAATGGGCAGACAATTTCGTTTTTGTGTTTGCGTGTCAGTAGCAAACGGTGAAACCAAGCGACTAGTGCAAAACAGCGGTACCAAAGCAAAAGTAAAACAGAAGACAAAAACAAAAGCAATATCCTAACGAAGCACTGCAATTGCAGCAGCAATAATAACAAGCAAACAGCCGCTGAGACTTAACGAGTCTTCGTCAAATGTTATTGCAATTGCAACAACAGCCGCTAAGACTTAACGAGCCTACGTCAAATGGCAACAATCGCATAGAGGCAGCCGTTAAGACTCAACGCGTCGCCTTAGCATATTAATTGCGGCAATTAAGAAGCAAATATTTGGTACATGAAAACTTATCGAAACATTTCACTTGCAGCCACCGCGAACACTTAACGAATCTGCATCAAAACTGTGCAAAAGGAAAGCAAAACAGAAATAACCGTAACAAATCCAACAAGCAACAACCAAATTGCAAATGGACTACAAAGTGAGTACATTCTATTTGCAATTGAATCGATTCTCATAGTTTTTTCTTGGGTCTAAAAACAAACTGCTGACTCATCGTGTAGGCGGAGCCCTGTGTTACGGCACACAGTCCATTCAATGCGGCCAGCGACAGTCAGGAACTGCGCGGCGCTATGCGTGGCCTCGGCACAGACGAGCAGCAAATAATCGACATCCTGACCACACGTAACAATGCACAGCGACAGCTGATTAGCGCCGCCTATGCAACGGAATTCGAAAGAGATCTGATTGACGATCTGAAAGGTGAACTGGGCGGTAAATTTGAAAATGTAATTGTGGCACTGATGATGCCGCCGGTGGAGTACCTCTGCCAGCAACTGCACTCGGCAATGGCCGGCATGGGCACCGAGGAGGCGACTCTTGTCGAAATTCTGTGCACCAAAACGAACGAGGAAATGCAACAAATTGTTGCCAGCTACGAGGAGCAATGGGGCCGCCCGTTAGCCGAGCAAATGTGCAGCGAAACGTCGGGTTTCTTTCGACGACTGCTCACATTGATTGTGACCGGTGTGCGTGACCCGCTGAATACACCAGTTGACCCTGACCTGGCTAAGGACCAGGCCTCACAACTCTTTGCTGCCGGCGAGGCCAAACTGGGCACCGATGAGGAGGTCTTTAATCGCATCATGTCCCATGCCAGCTTCCCCCAATTGCGTTTGGTCTTCGAGGAATACAAAGAGCTAACGGGTCAGACCATCGAGCAGGCCATCAAGCATGAGATGGCCGATGAGCTGCATGAAGCCATGATGGCCATAGGTTTGTTTCCCACCCATTCCCACTCTCGCTCTCTCTTTCTCTAAGTTTTGACTGTTGATTTTGCATCGTCTTGCAGTGGAGTGCGTCCAATCACCGGCAGCTTTCTTTGCCAATCGCTTGTACAAGGCCATGGATGGAGCTGGCACAGATGATGACACTCTAATACGCATCATTGTCAGCCGTTCAGAGATCGATCTAGCCACCATTAAGCAGGAGTTCGAACGCATCTACAATCGCACGCTACACAGCGCCATTGAGGTAGGTTTATCTACATATATATATATATATATATATTATATATATGTATATTTATATTTTAAAATTATAGTTATTAATGTATTGCATTTTCCACTTTTGCTTTTCGTATTCCTGTCTTACACATTTCCTTATTGTTCATGTTGTTGTTCTTGTTGTACTTGTCCTTGGTGCTAGGATGTAAGTATTGGTTGCCTGGTACAGTTCGATATATACGCACATATATATATCTATATACATATATATAAATATATATATATAAATATATATATATATATATATTTATATATATATATATATATATATATATATATATATATATATATATATCTGCTTGGTGTATGGTATTATCAATTAGCGAACTATTTATATGGGCAATTCCAGCAAAACAAAACATTTTACAAAATTTCTAAAAAAAAAAAAAACAATTTTAAAATTTTTCTAAATTTTTTTCTATGGCTTAGTATTTTGGTTAACACTTAAGTAGTGATATTTTAGTGCATATGGGTTGGTAGCCTTTAAGTGCTTGATTAACTTTCTAGGTCTGAGCTTTAGTTACCTTAACAAAGAGATTCGAATCCAGCTCTAGTTTACTGTTAGCTAAGAAATCAGAAATAGGTTTATATAACACTCAGTTTATATAACACTCAAAAGGCTAAACCAACAGTTAATTATATCATATATAGTAGCACGATTTAGGATAAAGTATATAAATTAATTTATCGAATGATGTTTCCTACAAAGCTTCAATAGACAGATATTAATACGATTTTGTATTTGATAAACAGTAAAATTTCAATCTTCAACTGATTATTTCTTATAGAGCTATATGATATAGTCGTTCGACTAAGTATCGATATTCCAGAGCTCTGAGATCCATTTGAAAACAGCAAAACCTTAAAGCTATGAGTTTCTGATTTTAGGCTTGCTATAAAGAATTATAGCAGTCAGCAATATCGGCCTAGCTCATATATCTGACTTTATTTATATTTTATATTATATATATATTATATTTTCGGATATCTTTAAAAACAAACACATTGTTTTATATGGTAGCTACATCGATTAGTACAAATCGGAGAGAGCTTACTTCGATTTAGATATAAAAACTCTTATGTGCAAATGAGATAGACGAACAGAAAGCTTGTTGAGCGTTAAGCGATTGTTCATACTGATCAAGAATATGTATATAATGTTAGCCTCTTCTACCATACACTAAAATCAATTTTATTTATAATTTTAACTATAATCAAAGCAATTTTTTACAATTGAAACAAATTCTATTTAAGTTTAGATCAAATTTCGCCTGGATATGCCCATATATATATATATATATAGTTCGATTTATGCAGTTTCATAACATTAGCTAATTTCAATATCTCTTTTTGCAGTCGGAAACATCGGGCGATTATAAACGCGCTTTGACCGCATTGCTGGGCGGCGCTTAACTTGGCCCAAGGCGCACAATACAAATGAAATTAAATTGTTATTAATATTATAAATATATATATATATATATACGTATATGTATGCTATATGCGCTTAAATCAATTATTAGTTATAGGCGCGCTTTCATTGTCGCACAATAAATATATATTTAAATATACACACATATATATTCATATAATTACCAAAATTAAATATTACATAAAATTAGTTGAACTTAAACATTTTCAACAATTGATTTTTGTGTGGAAAAAATTGGCCTTATTGCGATATTGATGCATCGATAAGAAAATAAAAATCAAATGGAAAAGCAGTATAACTGAGCTATTTGAAATACAATTTGTGCAGCTCCTTTGCTTTGACGGGCAGAAAGTTTTGCATTTCATCGGGGCTCGTCCAGTAACTAGTCGACGACTGCAGAGGGAAAATAGATTAGCTAGTAATACAGGTGTGTGTGTTTGTGTGTGTGTTTACCTGCAGCTCGGAACAGGGCGCCTCACGATGTATGTACTCCTTGAGTATATAGTCATTCTCGATCTCGCAATGGAAGCGCGTATCATGCATTCGTATGAGAACATCGTCGATTCTCAGAAAGTGACGTAACAGCACAAAGAAACCGGAGGGCATGACACGCTGACAAACGATAAAAGGATAAATAATATATAGTATATAAGCAATAGATAGATATAGAGATCTACAACTAAGATTGGCCTGCCAGACAGCCAGATGGAACACTGGACAGCTTATCGTCAGGTAAATGTAACTATATACAAGTTGGAGCTACAGTCAACATCATTAGCTTAGAGCAGCAGGTGAATCTACATTTCAATATAAACAGACTGACAGCTGAAGCAACGCTCGAATATACAGGCTGTCTGACCATACTATCTGTAGGCAACTTACAATGCGCACACTCATCACGGAAATGCCATGATCGTGCAGCTCATCCTCGTATAGTGTGAGATCGTGATAAAACAGAATATTTTCACGCTGCATCAGTTTCATTTTGTTGAGCGTTTGATCTGTGGTCTCTGAGCGAAATTGTGCATTCAATGTGCCCTGATATGTGGATGTGAATGTCCAATCGAAGGGTTTGTATTTCTGTTCCATGTTCTGTTCGGCGCTGCAAGGTCGAAAGGTATTTGACTGAAGGTTAAAATGCAAAAGAAATAAATGTCCAGTTGCTGTTACCGCGTTTCGCGCCATTCCTGAGCGCAGGCCACCTCGACGGCTGCTTGTTTGCCATTGGCGACCAGAGCAAGTGCATCCATGGGCTTGAATTCCATGAGGGCGCCATCTTTGTGCTGCAGGACGAGCTTATTTTTATGAAACACCATATCGGGCAGGTGGGGAAGCTCCAGCGTATGCTGATAGTGGCAGAGCTCACAGCGATTGGCATCATCCTTATCGCAGCACTTATCGCTGCCCAAATGGCACATGCTCTTCAATATGTGTGACTTCTCATAGCTAATGGACCAATCATTAAACCGTATCGACTCGCAGTCCACCGGCAAACGTAGCACACCGCACTACAAATGATATATGATAACGTATACACATGCGCCTCTGCCTACAGGTGGGTCAGCTACAACTTCCTCACTTACTTCATTTGCCATTTCGAATATGTTAGTTTTTGCGAGATTTTCTAAATAAATAATACTTTCTCAAGATCAAACGCAAAATTATGCGGCAGTGTAGATGTACATTTGTCTATCGATTATTTATTTTGAAATCCTTGCAAAAAGTGTCATCGATATATTTTTTGCAAATTATTTATCAAGGAGCTATCAGCTAATTAAAATATAATTTGAGTAATACACTTAACTTCGATTTTCTTTTTTTTTCCGATTCCTATTATTATTATTATTATTATTATTTTTAGCAATATATCGCGTTAATAATCAACTATTGTTCGTTTGACATCTCTAAGGCGAAGCGGCAAATGTTTTTGTTTTTGTCAAATATTCTATTTTCTAGGTTGTCGTAGATTTACAAATTTTGTACGTATTTATTTATTTAAAATTATCAAAAAATAACATATCGTACAGATATAGAACAAAACTAGCTGAATTGCCTTATCGACGTTATGATTGCATTAAAACGCCTGCCACGTTTTTGCCTGCTGCGGGCCCTTGGCAACCAACCAAAATTTTCCACATACTCAACTTCTCGAATGTGCAAGGCCCAAATCACTGCAGAGGAAGTTCGCAGTCTGGCTGATGCACTCAAAAATGGACTACGTGCCTTGGGCCAACCCACAAGCGCAACGCATCCGCATTTGATAAAGCCACACGAATTGGTACCCGGCGTGGAACAGTCTGAATTTCAAACAAGACGCATACGCCTTATGGAAGGTATACAAACGTATGCGGAGGGTTTTGGGAACGAATTTAACGGACGCGCCTCCAAAGCGCACATGGTAAGCCGGCTGTCGAATCACATATTCACATATTTACAACACACATCTTTTAGCTGGTCATTGGGGCTGCTTGCAAAAAGTATATGAGCGGCAAGATACCCTATGTATTTCGTCAAAACTCAGACTTTTACTATCTAACCGGCTGCTTAGAACCAGACTCGGTGCTTTTGCTCACTATTGATGAGTCTGGGACTGTGCAATCAATATTGTTTATGCGCCCTAAGGATCCGCATGCTGAACTGTGGGATGGCCCGCGCACTGGTCCCGACTATGCCGTGCAATTATTTGGGGTGCAGGAGGCATTGCCCATCGAAAGCTTCCATCAGACGTTGAATGCACGTTTTCATCAATTGAAACCACATTTGTGGTTTGATCTAAACCAGTCGGAGCAGGCAAGTGTAACGGATGCCCTCCTTCAAGTGTGCAACAGTGAACGCACCCACTTATTGCCCGTTTGTACGTTCGTGGAAAATATGCGATTGATTAAATCGCCTGCCGAAATGGAGTTGATGCGCAGAACCTGTTCAATAGCCTCAAATGCTTTTAATGAGGTCATGGCTGAGACGCGTCCCGGTCAATCGGAGCATCAGCTTTATGCTGCCATCGACTTTAAATGCCGCATGCGCAGCGCTAGCTACTTGGCTTACCCTCCAGTTGTGGCAGCTGGCCGAAATGCTACGGTTATACACTATGTGAACAATACACAAATTCTTCAGCCACAGGAGTTGCTGCTAATGGATGCAGGCTGTGAGTATGGCGGGTATACAAGCGATATAACACGAACCTGGCCGGTCAGCGGACAATTCACAGAGCCCCAGCGCACGCTTTACGACATGATGGAGCAGCTGCAAAAGGAGATAATCGGTATATATCTATTCATAAGCTTACACAATTTTTCTACATATTTCGTTTTTGATTTGTAGAGTTAATTATGCAACCGGGCGGTGAGACTTTGGATCAACTGTTCGAATCATCATGTTATAAGTTGGGCAAATATCTACAGGAAATCGGTTTAGTTGCCAAGCACTTGACTGACCACAAGGAGCTAGCCACGCAGGGTTATAAATTCTGCCCGCATCATGTTTCCCATTATTTGGGCATGGATGTTCACGATACACCCCATGTGCCGCGCAATACACGCATCCAACAAGGCATGGTATTCACGGTCGAGCCGGGCATCTATATTGATGAGAAGCGCACAGATGTGCCATCAGAATTTCGTGGCATTGGCATACGGATCGAGGATGATGTCTTAATTAATGAAAAGGGGCAGGTGGAAGTATTAACCGCTAGCTGTGTGAAGGAACGACGTGCACTGGAGGATCTGTTTAAATAGTATGCTAATCGAAACGGCCTATACCAAAATTCCTAGTCATAATTTAGTTGTACTATGCACATATGTATACAGCTTATGAATGCATATGTGTGTATATATATGTGTATATATATATATACATATTGACTTAAGTTATAACCAGATATTAAGTATGCGCCACATTAGCCAAGTGTTCAATGTACAAAGAGTATATATAGTAATAGAAAGAATATATATTATTGTTCAAGTATGAAGAGAGTTCGCTGCTTAAAGTTTGGCAAATACAGGCTTCTCATCCTTTGTAAGCTGGGCAGCTACAGCTTGTGCAAAGTCCTCTGATTGTAAATTTAATTTGTTAATAACGCGCTGAAAAGATAACGTGTAAAGCATAAAATATATATTAATACATATATATCTTAAATATTAATTGCAGTTTTTTTAAATATTAATTGTAGCATGGTGTCTTACAATGTGGTCGAGTCCTTCTTGATTGGTATGATCTAACGAATAGACCATGTTTTCCTTGGTAGCCTGCACGGCTATAGGACTTTTGCTGGCAATGTCCGCGGCCAGCGCTATAGCGCCTTCTAGCAGGGAGTTCTTGTCTGGGTATACGCGACTGATCAAGCCGCTACGCTCAGCCTCAGCAGATTCAAATCGGCGACCCGTAAAGCACAGCTCGCGTGCCAACGATTGGCTGCCAATTGCCTTTGGCAGCCGTTGCAGTGTACCAACATCGGCGGCCATGCCAATATCTACCTCCTTCACCTGGAAAAATGCATCCTGTGTACTGTATCGTATGTCCGCAGCGGTAATTAAATCAACGCCAGCGCCAATGCAAGCCTGATGCACGGCCATAATAACAGGCTTAGGACACAGCTCCACGGCACTAATCGAATCCTGATACAACTTTATGGCACGATCAAGAATAACGCCCTTGCGTGCTACGTCATCATAGTCAGCCAGCTGCTGGCTCATGCTCATCATGGAAGACAAATCAATGCCGGCACAGAAATGTTTGCCTGCAGCAGAGAGTACAATGGCGCGACAATCTGGATTGATGGCTAGCGTTTCAAAGCAGGTTTTGATCTCACTGCAGAGCGAGGGGGGGATTGTAGTAATACATATACTTGTTTATATATATATATGAACTTACAGCCACATATCTCTGTTCATGGCATTCAGTTTTTTGGGTCGATTCAGCTCCACATGAAAGACAAAAGGTTTCGGTGTGCTAATGGCCAATGTTTTGAACTGTTCGGACACCTCGTTAGCAGCCTGTGCGCTACTGTTATTACGGTGTGGTTGCATGGCTAATAAAGATAAAGTGGTGCAAGGTTTTAAAAGACTGATCTAATAATTGTAGCTGCCACAGATTTGGACTTTGCACCGGTCAGTTGGACCTGGGTTTAATAAGTTAAGTTGCAAATGCAATGATTATCCCAAGCAATACATAGACAGCTGGTCACACTCACCAGCTACTCGCGGTGCCAGTCTTAGGACATTTGTTATTCTTGTTAGCGACATAATTTTTGTATTAAAGAAATTCGTAAAAAGCAGGCTTTTATATATTTATATAGTTGTTGACACTTGTTGCACTTGTAATCGTAGCGACAAGTGCGAAAAGATGTTTTCAGTTATCGATAGTGTAAGCGATAATATTAGATGTATATTCCTAACTTGGGAGATTAATTAATCATTAATGTGTAACGGTCTTTTTTTGTAAGAATTTTCGAATTTAGGAAATATTAATGAAAAATATGTTTTATATTTACAGGTATACTCTACTGCTTATAATCATCTACATTTTTATTTTATTATAGCACTTATAAGCTTTTTGAAAACGATATTTGCGTCTATCGATAGTTGGAATATCGTGCGCCGTCAGACTTGACCAACGCAAAGTTTCTGCGGGCTTTTGGGGGAGGCAGAACAAAACCAGCGCAAATAATGGCATTTGTTGCTGTTGCCGCTGATAAGACTCATCTGCTGCAATTTCAATTGTTGCCAATTATCAAAGGCAAACAAGGCTCTTAAGATTAGCACATACATCATTGATACGCGGAAAAAACCCTAAGTAAAATGAGCGATACTCTGGACGTGCTCGTCTTTGGCTCGGCGATCATAGATTTTATATGGTAAATAGATTCAAAGAGATGCAACAATTGTTATTAGCAAACTCTAAACTTTTTCAGCTATACTCCCCGTTTGCCTAAAGCGGGTGAAACGCTGCATGGCCATAAATTTCAAACAGGATTCGGGGGCAAGGGTGCCAATCAATGTGTGGCAGCTGCTCGACAGGGCTCCAAAACAGCTTTAATTGCCAAACTGGGAGCGGATACCTTTGGTAGTGACTATCTATGTCAGTTGCGAGCTGAAAATGTGAATGTGGAGCATGTTCAACAACTGGACGGCCAAACAACGGGCATAGCTCAAATTGCAGTCTCTGACGGTGGCGAGAATAACATCATAATCGTCGTGGGTGCCAACAATTTGCTCAATGCTAGTGATGTGAGAGCTGCAGCGGAACATTTTGCCAAGTCCAAGGTGCTAGTCTGTCAGCTAGAGACGCCTATCGAGGCAACGATGGAGGCATTGCGTCAATTCTCCGGTATATCTATATTGAATGCGGCGCCAGCATTGAAGCAGACGCCAACTGAATTGCTTAAATTGTCTAGCATTCTGTGTGTCAACGAGACGGAGGCGGCGCTCATGACAGACGTCAAGAGCATCGATACTATAAGGTATATACAAATAAATATATATATGAATCTGTATATATTAATAGATTATTTGCCTTACAGCGAGGCAAATGCAGCTTTGACCCGTCTCATTGAGCTGGGAGCCAATACGGTAATCATCACACTTGGTAAATTGGGCGCTGTCTATGCCTCGAAAGATGCGTCTCGTGATTACGAACTGGTGCCTGCTCCAATTGTTCCCTCGGAGCTGGTTTTGGATACAACGGGAGCTGGAGATGCATTCATTGGCGCTTTGGCTAACAGCCTAGCGCGTTACCCGGACCTAACGCTAGCTGATCACATTGCAGCTGCCTGCGAAGTGGCGTCCAAGTCAGTGCAGCAACTGGGAACACAGTCAAGCTTTCCGCATGCTTGAGAAAGAGAGAAAAGAAAATGTTGAGCAAAAATAAACCAAATGATTTATATACAAAAAAAAAAACACCTTAGTCCAGAGTTGGATATGTGATAATAATTTACATATGCATAGGACAATATACACATTTATCTGGAAGAATTATGTATTCGATATCTATTTGTTCCGCCCTTTCTTGTCTCTATATACACATGGAAACAATATGGCATTAATTGTTGCTTTTATTACAGTATTTAATGCGCTATTTGTGTTAAATCGTAAGTATAAAAAGAGAAATTTGTTTAAACTGTTCGAACATTCAATTTTGGTCAATTTACATTTGACGAAAACTGAATTTGTTTCTGCAAATGCAATTTACATCGTGTACGTTTGTGTATGTGTGTGTGTGTTCACAAATGAATTTCTCCAACAAAAAAGTAGCAAATATTTATGCGTTACGATTATCCATCATTTCTTGCCCGATTTCTTAATGCCACCGCCCACAAGGGGTCCCTTTTTGGCTGCCTGTTGTTTGGCGGCATCGAGCGCCTTCTGTTGCTCCTTTTGCTTCTGCTTGAATGCCAAATCGTCTTCGTCGAGATCTTTGCCCTCCTTCTTGGGTGCCTTCAGTGGCTTCTTTTTACCGCCCTCACGACCACTCATCTTCTGAATTTAAAGATATAAATTTATATTAATTTTCTATTCAGAGAGCTTAGCAAGTAGTCGCACGTTTTCCCAGCTTTTCTATTTAGTGTTTGACAATGACAAAAATCTATAGATTGTTAAAAAAACAGCACTGAATTTCGTTATCGATTTGTGCTTTCGATTCAACTCTAGGCACAGAGTATTATTTTTAAATACGCCTATAATTTTCATTAAAAGCCACTTTAATTTATTACTGAAAGAACTTATATTTATAATCATTTTTTTTAAATAAATTTTTTATCACATTAAGATAATTATTTACTATCTTTTAACCAATAATTAGTTTCCCACCCAATATCGCATTAATCGTATTAAAAATCGATATCTATCTTTATAATCGGAATATATGCAATGCAAGTTGCTCGATAGTTTGCCATACTGTTCACGTTTTACGAACACTTCACGAATTGCGTTCGTTAAGTGAGCACGCGGCTAGTTTCATCGCCAAGTGGGAAATTCTATTCTGCAAAAGAAGTTTTTATTCTGTGGCTTTTGTAAGAAGTTTAATAACTGAAGGTATTGTGGTTTTCTTTTATACAATTCTTAATTCTTTTTTGCTACGAGCTACTAGAAGAACAAAAATGAAAATCGGACAGTGCATTCATTAATAATTTGCCATTGATTTTTTTCTTTACGTTCACCTTGCACTAGATTTAAGTTATGTAATGTGCTAAATTTTTTTAATGTGTCGGTGTTGGTTTAATTTTCCGGTGTATGAATCTAACTCTATATTGTAGCCAAACGTTGCGGCGCTTGTAAAAAAAATATATAATTTATTTTTTTTTTTGTATAAAAATGGCAACAAAACGCTGCATAAATTGTGCTTACATAACCACAAATTAATTTGTAAGCGAAAGCAACGTTAAATTGAAGGCTGCACAGATTCGGCGTCTAATATAAGTCACAAGGTAAAACTATCGTCCGTGTCTCTGTGTCCTCTTTTTCAATGCACCCACATACACACACTTGCATTGTGTTAAGAACGCTCACGAGTTCTAACCTAAAAAAATTTTTTGCAAGAAAAATTTGAAAGCAAGCCGAGAAGAAGAAAAAACGGTGCCACACAAGCAAACTTTCGTGCATACACAGGCACAGGCACACGTATACAGTTGTGCACAATTTGCAACAGCTGCTTTTGCGATGAATCTAATTGAATATCCACTTTTTTAGTTGTATGTATGTGCAAAATTTTCACTATTTTTTCTTTTGTATTAAAAGTGTGGAAATGCGGCACACGCATACAGATGTAGTTGAACATTCATATGAATTCCATGTGCTTGTCGCGCTCTCTCACTTACTCACACGCTATGCCATTTACACGCGCAATATTCACGGCGACTATGAATGCCTGTGTATGTGTGTGTGTTTGTTTCAATGTATATTTTGCATTCTCTTGTTTCTTAAAATTTCTAAGAGCACATTTCTCTAACCATTGACCAATGACCGCTTAATTGTTGATTTTCGAACTCTCAAAGAAATAGACTTTTACATTTACCTGCTTGCTTACAAAAGTTAGAACCGGTTATGAAGAGCAGCAGCAGATGCTGCTGCTGTTCCTTATGACGTCAGCAGAGCAAACGCGTCATTTTAATATGCCGCATGTGATTTTTTTTGTATTTACTTATGCCCTTTTGTTTGGCCTTTTTAGCGCCATTTTGCATTTGGTGTTTTCTAACCCGATGCCCGGCAGAGATAGCATAGTTAAACGTCCTGGCAAATGTTGTGAGACAAACATTTACGTAAACATCTTTCAATGGCGATTTCTCATATTCGTTACTGCTAATGCAAGAATTGGCAAACGATAAACAAATCGTCGCCCTCATTGATGCGTCAGCATTTGAAGTAGTGGAAATTTTATGAATAAGTTGCGGATCGCGGCTAATTGTTTATGCGACGACTGTCTGCTGTCAGGAAACGCCCGTCGAAGAGAAAAATTCAAAATTTCTATGTTGTACTTAACCCATTTAACAGATTTAGCTGCACTTGAATCTATTTTTTTTCTTGCTTATTTTTGAATAGCCGCAATTAGATTTTTAGTACGCACCACAACTTCGCTTCTGCATTTTTGGCATCCTGCCACAATTTGTCGCTCTTATTAATTAGTGCGCGTCCAGCGTACAATTCTTTTTATGTAATTTGTTAGCGATTAGAAGACCTTGAAACCTGCTGCTTATATAAAAGAGCTGAATAAGTAGTGGTATTTAATCTAATCGCAGTACGCACATTTATTTCAATTACGTTGCCTTCCGCCTACAAAGAAGTCGGCCTGTGACTTCACATTTAAGAGAGTCTAAAGGCGACGAAGAGCGAGTGCTAAAGAGAGTTTGGCACATGCGTCAAAATTTCCATAAGTCACATGCTACGCTGTTGACGCGGGCGTCAACGCCACCGCCGCTGTTGTTTTCGTCGGCGCGTTGCCAACTGAGTAAAAGTTTACATTTTTGGCAAGCATTCAGTTTTTTTCTGTTGTGAAGGCGCTGCAAACCTCGAAAGGGGTAAATGAAAAACAATTGTATTAAATAAATTTGCATTGTTTTATTATTCTATTTTTCTTGTCATTGTTTTTAGGCCAATATTAATTGGCAATAGATTTATTTTGTATCTAAATTTGTCTTACACTCACTTCCTTTTCCTATCAGAGTCTGGCCCATAATTTCTCTCTCAATATGTGTATATATGAACTGATTAGCAGGTCTAGCTAACGGTGTTATGCAACGCTATTGGCATTGAATTCATTGCTATCGCTGTTCTGCTTGACATACACCACAGACATTGATAGGCATATAGATAAGATCTCTCTTGCTTTCTCTCTCTCGATCATTTGGTATTTGCGTTTGCGCACACGTGCATGAGCTTTGTATGTGTGACTGTGTCTATGTGTCTAGTTTCTGTTGCCAACTGTCTCTCAATATGCCTACCGTTATACGGCGCCGCTAACTCTTTCGCTCTCTCACAACTGTTGCGCAGCGACTGCGACGCCTGAGTACGTGAACTTGAATCTGCCGCTGCCACAGCTAGCAGAGGCAGCAGCAGCTGACCGCTGCTAAGCAGCGCAGGCTAGCTCGCTGTCTACGCTATTCCTACTGTTCACAAGCAATTTAGTTGCCGTCCGGTGCAGACCTTTGATTTCGCAAGGAATAAAGATAAATTAATTTTTTTTCGGTGCTGTGATAAAAAAACACAAACAAATTGTACGTATTGCATATTAAATGCATTTGAAATGCATAAACCTAAATATAAATCGACTCAATCAAAGACAATAACAATAACTGAAGCATAAATAATTTGCAAGCATTGGTGAATTAATTTTTTGTTTAATTAATTGATTTAATCAACTATTATCTTTTTTTTTTACTGTTACATAAACGTGTGCAAAAGCTTAAAACAATTAAAAATTGTGCAATAATATCAGAACCAGTTTTATTGTGTTTACAATCAGAGTTTAATTAGTTAAACAATGTTTAAACTTTTTTTCTCGTGCTTGGCTAAAAGAGTTATGCAATCGCCAGGGGTGGCAGCCACAACACTTTTCGTTCACATGCGAAGTTCAAAGCGATAAACAAGAAAACAGTTACACGTGCCTCTTTGCCTAGTGCATTGAGTTCATAGCTCCGCCTTTCAATATCTATTTATTTATGTTGTACTATTTAGTTGAGTATTTGAGAAAGTTACTATTACATCACGGTCGCGCGTGCTCTTTGCAAAAGCTCTTAATCAGCAGTACCCTGGAGAGATTAGATAACAGGGCAACGCTTTTTACAGTTGTTTGCTTCTGGCCATAATACCACCACCTAGAATAATAAGATTCTCTTGCACTTGAACGGGCTCTCTCTCTTTCTCTTAAATGACACTGGCATTGGCATTCCTCTCTTGAAAAGTGGTTACATAAAAGCGGGTTTCGTCAATGAAAAGTGGCCTAGACTGGGCGCCTGACTGCCTGCCGGTGGCTGCTAATTTAATTTTATACCACCATTCGTGAAGCAACAACAACAAATCACAATGAACAATTTTTTAGCTGCTGCTGTGATTTCTACACTTGAATTCTAAATTTAACAATGCAAGAGCATGAAAAGAAAGTTCTCTCTTTCTCTCTTTGACACTGGTCAATGTCAGTTGCGAGAAGAGCATTGGCACATATATGTTAGATAGCCATCCCCTTTACGCCAAGCAGTTCGCATTGGCTTACTCTTAGTATTTCAATAAAACTGGCAGCGCCATCTACAGTGTTATACAAGCGAATAAATTATGCAATGTGTACACACAGACACACACCCACGTTTACAAAAACATGTGCTCATTGCCAAAATGTGCAATAATATGTGTATGTGCCACGTAACTGTTTAGACAGCTCTTATAAATTCAAAATTTAGTTGGCTCTTGAGTTTGTGTGCTCTTAATCGAGAGTAAGCATTTGTTATTCTTTATTATTACCGGTTCAAACAAACCGCAGCTTGGTGTGCATCCAGTTTCCCAGTTGCATATACAAAAAGTTGAACCACTTAAACACGTGGCAGTTGGGGGTTTCAATTCAAAAACTGATTCGTAGGCAGAAATAAAAAACCACTTATATATACAACAAGCGCACGAACGCACAGCGACAAAAGCAATTGTAGTCTCTTGACAACAGCAAAAAAAACGACGCTGGTGTCTATCGCCCATTTGTATGTTTTGTATATAATGAACAGGCACACACAAATATATATATGTGTGTATGTATATATATTTCTTGTGCCGAATGCTTAGATAATATAGCAAAGAGCAATAGTCTCTACTGCTGTTAGCTTTATTTTTAATAACATTTATAATTGTTTTTGACCTAATCATTTATGCATGCCTAACAATTTTAATCTAGTTTTAAGTACATATTCATTTAACACACATTTTAATTTACGTTGCATCCTCGCATTCACTAAAAAACCGTGCAAAGCGGCCTTAACTGGCATGTAATCGATCTCTGAGTTACTCATCGATAAGCTACTCGATGCTTTACAGTTGGCAACGATAGATTGGGTAACGATCCGTATCGATTACATGTTAAGTTTGGCGCTAAACGTTATCGTTTTGTAACGCATGTTTTCACCTATTCCTGTTTTAAACATATTTTCATTTGGTTGTGGTGTTTATCGAATTTGGTTGTATATATAACAATAGTGTAAAAAGTGAAATGTGCTTTATATAAAATGATCACAAGAAAACGTAATTATCATAATCATAAATCTAACCTCACAAATGACTGACTGAAATGGAAGAAGAAAAAGAATGAAGATCATGATGATGTTGATATGGAAGAGAAGTTGAACTTATTGTAAAATTTTGGAAACTGCGTTGTTGTTTATAGCAAAATGGGCAAGGATTTTGATGCTGTTGGATTCGTCAAGGACTTCGCTGCCGGAGGTATCTCCGCAGCTGTCTCAAAGACTGCCGTCGCACCCATCGAGCGTGTGAAACTGCTTCTGCAGGTTCAGCACATCTCGAAACAAATCAGCCCCGATCAGCAATACAAGGGTATGGTTGACTGCTTTATCCGCATTCCAAAGGAACAAGGTTTTGCTTCATACTGGCGCGGTAACATGGCCAACGTTATTAGGTATTTCCCAACTCAGGCTCTGAACTTTGCCTTCAAGGACAAGTACAAGCAGGTAAGCAATCATAAAAACATACATGATGTCGATATATGATCACTATAATAATTATGTTTTTCTTTTTCATTTCATCTCCCTCTTCGTAGGTCTTCTTGGGTGGTGTTGACAAGAACACCCAGTTCTGGCGTTACTTCATGGGCAACTTGGCCTCCGGTGGTGCCGCTGGTGCTACCTCTTTGTGCTTTGTCTACCCATTGGACTTTGCGCGTACTCGGTAAATAACGATATATATACAAGACACGTGTATATTTTGATATTTATTAAAACTTGTTCCCTTTTAGTTTGGCTGCTGATACTGGCAAGGGTGGCGCTCGTGAATTCACCGGTCTGGGCAACTGCTTGACTAAGATCTTCAAGAGTGACGGCATTGTTGGCTTGTATCGCGGCTTCGGTGTCTCTGTCCAGGGCATCATCATCTATCGTGCTGCATACTTTGGCTTCTACGATACCGCCCGTGGCATGTTGCCCGATCCTAAGAACACACCCATTTACATTAGCTGGGCCATCGCTCAGGTTGTTACAACTGTTGCTGGCATTGTGTCCTATCCATTCGATACTGTTCGTCGTCGCATGATGATGCAGTCTGGTCGCAAGTCCACCGAGATCATCTATAAGAACACATTGCACTGCTGGGCCACCATTGCCAAGCAGGAAGGTAGCGGTGCCTTCTTCAAGGGCGCTTTCTCCAACGTTCTCAGAGGCACTGGCGGTGCTTTCGTGCTTGTGTTGTACGATGAGATCAAGAAGTTCTTGTAAATTTAATTATTAAATTATTCAAAAACAAACAACAAAACAAAAACAAACAACAACTACCACTACCAGCTAATTATATTATATAAAGAAAAATTTAACAACAGCGCAAAACATCTGCAATAATCCAATATAATTATAAAATTATATTATATATAATAACTGGAATATAATTTAATTGCACTTGCATAAATAGCAAACAAACAACATTTGATGGCCAGATAACAACAAAAAGAGCAGTAAGAAAAGCAAAAGAGGAATCGGAATCAGGATATTTGGAGCGGAAAGGACAAACCAAATCTCTAAGCCACAAGCACACACACATGAGACAAAACAACAACAATATCAGACGAACATTCTAGACATATATTTAAGTTATAAGCTAGTAGCATTCTTGTTAAGTTCGACAGGTGATTGTGGCAGGGCACAGGTGGTGCGTCTGTATCTCTGTCTCAGTTCTCAACGAAACAGTCCCCCCCGAAACTCCCCCTTTTGCCGATCGAGAATGTTTTGATCGTATATATAGAGTGCGCAAAATGAAAAGAAATATTAAGAACCATTTCTTAAGCCTCTGCAGTAACAACAAACCAACAAAAAATCAACTTGCGAGTTGGTTAAAAATATAAAAATTGATAAAAATAGTAGACCAACTTTGTTTTATTCGCGTCGATCACTTTCCCTCATGTAGCGTAAAGCTTGTCAGGGGAAGCCAATTCCTTTTCGACTCTAATTTCTCAACAATCCAGAGTCCGTCATAATTGTGGTGGAGTGATTTCTTGAGGAAGGTAAATCCTTGCGCAATTAATTCATCAGACTGTGAAATCCACACCGTGGTGTAATTATTGATTCCAGTAAGTTCACCACTTCACGTGAAAAATAGGCAAACAAAAAATGAAACACTTGATTTGTCGGATTACGTTGTTTTAACATATCCAAGTAGGTCTTTTTATATTTGCCCAAGTAGTCTAGAAAAGTTAACGTCGTGGGCTTTTTTTTTATACAATATCAAAATTAGCCCATTTTGTACGGAGCTGGTTTTATTCTAGACCCAATTATTTCGGAAAAAATTTAAAAAAAATTATTTTAATTTTTAATTTTCTTTGGACTTTAAAACCAATAAAAAAATTAGCAGATATAGAGCCGAACACAAGCGTGAAAACAAAAAGAAACCGCACAAAAAACCAAATTCAACAAAATGGGCGACGAAGGCGGTGGCATGAAACCAGGAGGTGATTTAAAATCCTTCCTCATCGATTTTATGATGGGTGGCGTGTCGGCTGCCATAGCCAAAACCGCTGTGGCACCTATCGAACGCGTCAAGTTGATTCTCCAAGTGCAGGAGGTATCCAAACAAATAGCATCGGACCAGCGCTATAAGGGAATCATTGATTGTTTTGTGCGCATTCCACGTGAACAGGGCTTTTCATCGCTATGGCGCGGCAATTTAGCCAATGTGATACGTTATTTTCCAACACAGGCGCTTAACTTTGCTTTTAAGGATGTCTATAAGACGGTGAGTGTCGGAATAGTTGTAGCGCTATTCAAATCTGAAACATCCATTGCGGTATTTCTTTGCTTACATATGTACCTAAAAAATCTTGTATTTTTAATTATTCAGGTATTTCTGGGCGGTGTTGATAAAAAGAAACAATTTTGGCGTCATTTTATGGGCAATTTAGCATCTGGCGGCGCTGCCGGTGCGACTTCCTTGTGCTTTGTTTATCCATTGGATTTTGCACGTACGCGGTAAGTTGTAGGTCGACGATTTGCATTCATTTGTGTGCGACAAATCATAATACCATTGTTCATATGTGGCGTTGCCACTTGAAATCAAAGTGCCAATTATAGTAAAATTGTTATTCTGTGACTAGTTGCTGTGGCCTTGCCACTTGACACGGTTAACTTTGTGCTAAAATTCACCAAGATACGTTATTTCACGTTTTGCAGATTGGCTGCCGATGTGGGCAAGGGTGGCGATCGCGAATTTAATGGATTGATAGATTGTTTGAAAAAGGTGGTGAAATCGGATGGATTGATTGGGTTATATCGTGGCTTCATTGTTTCCGTACAGGGCATCATTATTTATCGTGCCGCTTACTTTGGATTCTACGATACGTGTCGCGACCATCTGCCAAATCCGAAGGAAACCCCATTCTACGTCAGCTGGGGCATTGCTCAAGTAGTGACCACCATTGCCGGTATTGCGTCGTATCCGTTTGATACGGTGCGCCGTCGCATGATGATGCAATCGGGTCTTAAGAAATCGGAAATGATCTACAAAAATACAGCACATTGTTGGCTGGTGATTGCTAAGCAAGAGGGCATACCTGCCTTCTTTAAGGGTGCGTTCTCGAATATTATTCGCGGTACTGGTGGAGCTCTCGTCTTAGCCATTTACGATGAGTTCAAGAAGTATGTGTAGACACTTTCTTTTCTTCGCCTCTCCATGCTTCCGCCTCCCACTCAATCCAGCAAAACAAAACCACAAAAAAAAAGTCACTTAAAAGAAACTGCACAAAAATAAGAACGAAAGGAACTCAAATATCCCCAGAAATAGGGAAAGCAAAATAATTGCAAAATTTATTTAAAAAAAAAAGATCGAAGACTTAACTCAATCGTGACTAATTATGTATATACAAATGTATATACAAATATATTTTTTGTGTAACTATTAAAACAAAAACATAAATGAATCGACAAAATTTAAAGTAGAATTACATCCAAAACCGAAAAATATATTCATTTGATTTTACTCTTTTGTGAACTTTTTATTTAGTCAAGTTGCCAATCAGAGAACAAGAGGGTACAATTGTGTGCAAAATAAGTCATATATCGCGCATGCGACCACCACCAATAAAGAATAAAGAGGTACATTAATGAATGGATTATATGCATGTGCTGCATTAGTCAATTTGGCAACCAGATAACAGCTGTATTAGTTAAGTTGCCAACCAGCACACTTACTGCACACATGTATTTCCATATTATGTACATTAGCTACGTTAGTAAAGTTGACAACCTACGGCGTGTGGGCGAGTACAAAATGTAGTCAGGTTTGCCACTCTGCCAGAATAGTCAAGTGCACAACCAGCGGTGGATTAAATAATATTTATTTTACAGTTACAAAATACGAATAATTTATTGAACTTATTTGTTGTATTTGTTTGTTGTTATTGTTGCCTTGTATGTGTTGATCTTAAATGTTAGCAGGCGTTAAAGTTAAAGTAAGCATTATACTAACATTAAAAACAAATCAAGTCGCGCGGGCCGAGTCAAGCGCTGAGCTGAGCCTGAACATAAACCGAACTGAGCCCGCACATGAACCAAACTGAGCGAACTTGTAGTTGAGCGTTCATTCGTTACTGCCGTTAGATTTAAATGATCAAAAAAAAAAACTAAAATGGAATATAACAAAAAAAAACAAAAAATTATTTAAAAACTCTCCAAACAAATTGCACTTAAATCTTAAACTACGCTATGTTGGCTTTTGTGGTGGGTGCGCTGCTTGCTATTTGTTTGTTTTTTCTTTCTTTTTTTTTTGGGTGCGCATGACTAAAAAAATTTGTTCCGCTTATCGGTTATCGAATCAAACAGAACAGATCGCTGTTCGGCTTTGCTGCTAAAACACTTTTAATGCGTGGCGCCCGATCTGTGCGCCAGGAATAAGAAATATGTGCCCGCCGCATAAGCCAAGAAGTTGAATAGGCCAAAAACGCCAGCCGTTACATTTGCAGCACGTCCGGGGACATACGTTTCGGACCATCTGGCCAGCTGCACAATAAATGCAATAAAGTAGAGCAACGTCAACACAGCAGTTGTCAGCAGTTCCTGCAGGAAGAATAGGAGGGAGAGAAAGAGATAGGGCGAGTAAGTGATAAAGTTAATGTGTGACCAATGGTAAAACTCACTGAAAATATCCAATTAACGGCCACGTTGAGCGCCTCGCGTATGCCCAGGAAATATGCTGCAATCAGCAAGAAGGTAATTATGAAAGAGAGGACAACAGCAAATAGAAAAAAGCTCGTAGCTGCCGCCTGTGCGGGCGAGGCGCATGCCATGCAAATGATGCCCAATATCTGTAATGAAAAAGAACAAATTCCAGCCATTCATAAATATAACATCAAAGCAAATTCCTCAATTGACATTAAATGTTTTTTTTTTTTTTTTTGACATGATGTCACCTTAAGCAATTGAACAATGGCAACCAGTTAATTGCCATACATAAATACTAAATAACTAAATCGAGCTGAGCTGAGAACCTGTAATGAAAGAAACGTTTTATCCGACCTCCCAATGCTCTGTATATAGGAGTAAACTTGTTTAAAATAATAATTTCAATAATTTTAATAAAATATAGTGTAATTAGTAGTCAACCTACTAGGAGCTATAATACATATACATTAACATATGCACATATTTCAAGTTATGAGTCCGCTGCTTTTAGACAGTTAAACGGACATTGAACGAACCAATATACTTTAAGCCAGTCGTGAACTGCGTATAAATATGGCAGCGCTGCACTTTGACGCTCAGCTCATGTGCTGTGTGTGTGTGCGTGTGTGGGCGCCGATGACACAGATTTCGATGACATGCCCATTTGGGTTTGTGATTTGTTTGAGTTTTTGCTTGCAATTAAATAGCAATAAGCATTAGGCGGCGTTCGCGCGCACAGGTGTGCACACGCAGCTTTCTGTGTTGTTGTTATTGTTGGCTAAAACAAAAGGCAGACGAAAAGTGAAAGCTGAAAGTTGCAGACATTGCCAAAGCCAAAGGCGACCTGTTGCTAGTAACATCAACAACTACCACGACTGAAGTCAACTGGTTCTTGTTTATGTTATTGTTTGTGTTTTGGTTTTCTTATGCGCCGCTACACACACACACACAGTCACGAGCGCATAATATTCGCGAGCGTGAAGTAAAAGCGCCGCCTGTCGCCCAAAAGTTGATTGAACTGCAAGCTACCCTGCAGCGTGCACTTGACCACAAACATTCGGTTTTATATTTTTTAGTATATGCTGGCAACTCTGCGCAAAAGTTAGACAGAAAAATTTGCGTCATCACGTTTCAAAAATAAAAATAAAACTCATATATGTAGGCAATTATGTATTTTCTTTAAATATATATCACAGTACGCCATATACACACTTATCTATGTATATTTATACATATATTTAGCTATGGGAATGTATTTATGTTAGAAAACTTAACGCTTCAATAGCCCAGACACTGGCCCAAATTCAGATTCAGAATCATATTCCGTTTTGATACGTCTGCTTGGTAAATAATCAAATGCTTTATTTGCCTGTGAAGCATGAAAAGCGCTTGATCGATGGCGCATGACAGCAAAAGCTATGTAACTGTATCGCCATTTGGTTAAATGTACAAATGTATTTATTAATGAATATCGATAACAATATACACATGGTCATATATCGAAAATAAGGATGCGCTATGGCGGCTTTTTGCCTTTGTGCCTCAATGGTCACACAAATACACACTCACCATAAAGATAACGGTTACATTTGCTGCGCACACTCAACGCGCTTCTAATGCAGGCTTATGACGTCAGCATGTAAACAAAACGAAACAGACCAAAATGTGTGCTTGGGTTAAAAAACAAATAAAAGCAAAAGCGTAATTTGCGTTTATGACAGTGTCAATTCGTACATTAAGATGAGCTCACTTGCGCGTTAGCACTTAGTCAACATTCTGTACATAACCTATAAATTACATATGCATATTTTTGTCTCTTCTTCAATTGAAATCGGAACAAGAAATTCCCAAAGCAACATAGAATGTGTGACATAATTGCCGCTACTATATATAATACAGCGGAGCTTTATATGTACGGGCATTTGGCCGATCTTACGTAATGGCTATCAAAATATTTTTGAAATAGTCAAATAAATCGTGCGCACAATATTTCGGTTCTTATCGTGCCCAACCGCAATTTGCATATATGTAGATTGGTCCAAATCACACACACATCTATACATGCATGTGTGCATGTATGTATGTGTAGCTTATGCTTACAAGCGACCCTGGCACGACATAAATAGCTGTGCATGTGTTCGTGTGTGTGTGTGTGTGTTTTGTGTGCGTGTATGTGTACACGATACGACAACAACAACAGGTTTGTCAACATGCTGCACAAATGTTTGACCAACATTATTAGAAAAAGTAAAAAACCGCCTGAGTTTTCGTTAGCTTTTGGTTGACTGGAACTGGAACTGGAACTGATGTCGTGCAATCTTATCGCCCTTATAGCCATAGTCCGCTGATATGGCGGCCAGATGGTATGTTGGTCTATCGTTCTGTTTATTGTTGTTTGATGGTCGATAAGATGCCCATAAATAGAATACCCACTAAAGCAACTAAAGCAACTCAGGCAACTTAAGCGTTAAGTGAGCCATACTGATCGTATGAGTAATAAAGCCAATAAAGGACGAACTGTTGGCCAGCTGGCCATAGACAGCGCGGGAGTAAGAGGGAGAGCGAGATTGCGGTGTATGTTCGGGGGATTTCAGTGTTATCTCTAAACAACGTTTTGTTCACTTTAACAATACCCATTATCGGCCTGTTATCGGTGCGTATGAGTAACGCGGCCAATGAGTCATATGAAACAGGGCTATTCAGGATTATTAGCCAAGTATTAATCTAGCCTATAAAGTATATATACATATATTTAGAGTGAATCGTTTGAGTTATTGGTTTAAATGTTCTTTACTCCATTGCTGGAATTTGCTAGATTGTCAAAGATAACCACTAGTTCCTTGAACTTTCCGGTTCGCCAACTAGTTCCTTTCAATTAAACGAAATTTCCCAAACGAGGTGTGTTCAGAAAGTACCGCTCTCACCTATTGCTCTTAAGTTAGGGGGATTATTTATGGGAAAAGATAGAATTATAATATATTTTTAAGGAGAAAAATACGAAATTCGCATTACTCTTTAAAGTGCCCTCGTATATCGTCATTTATCATAATTGAGACGGCCTAAATTTAATTAATTTACCTAATTCATATACCATATACATATATATATAATTATATATAAATCATATATCGGCTCATTTTTATAGGCCATGTTCGCTTGATGGACTCTCTATGCTTAAGCTACTTTATCAGTTGTCGAAAAGAAACGAAAGTCGATAAGATTGGAGCTGAAAGTGCATTCAATGCGGAAGCCAGAGCCACATTTAACTGTTCTTTGTAACCAAAACAACAACGACAACGGTAACAACTATTTTCAGTTAAAGGAAGAGAAAATTGGGCACAATTACATTTGGCTAACATGAGAATCGCATAGAGTGAAAAGCGTAATTAGCCTGTGAATATTTGATAGGTAAAAGGGCAGCCGGAGGTGAGGGGTTAACGGAGATGTGTTTTGGATAATGATATAAGCGCCTCGAATTTGTGTGTCTCGAAATGTGCCGTTTTATTGATTTTTTTCGGCTCAATTTGAGGCTAATAATAATTGGAGAAGTGTTCATTATTAATGTGAATGTGTCCTTGTTAACGGTAAAATACACGTGTGTCTAACTGTCTGTGAATGCGCGCGCGTGGATGTGTGTGTGTGTGTGGGTGTGTGTAGCATTGACAGTGAAGCTTGCCGCAAAAAAAAAATCACTGCCTGATCTAGCTTTCACCACGTTTCTTTTTACTTAGAGCGACGTATATCTGTGTGTGTGTGTGTGTGTGTGTATGCGTGTGTGTCACACTGCTGCTGTACTTGTTGTGGTCGCGTGTTGGCGGCCACCTGTGGGCGGATGCCGACACATGCACAGTAAAAAAATTAGGAAATATTGTAATATTGTTTGTCTGTTTAATATTTTTCGTTTTTTTCAGGCTTCATTATAAATTTAAAATATTTTCGTTCCATTCCTTTCGTTCCTTTCATTCGTTTCCTTTCCCACCACAGCTCCATAGGCTTGGCTTAATGGCAAGGCGCGCGCCTGTTAAGCGAGCAGTTGCTGGTTCGAAACTGAGCGCGGTTTTTATTAAATCACTATTTTGTAAGCCCAATTTAATAATTTTTTATATTTTCACATTTTTTTTAAAAATATATTTTAGTAATATTTGCAAATCTAATAAATATTTCATTCTTTAAAACACAAATTATGTACAGTGCATATACGTATATAGAGTGTGCAGATAGTAGTATATATGTGTCTACATATATATATATATATATATATATATATATTTATATATAATTGCAGTTAATTCAGTTCATGTTTTCATTGCGGTTCTTGTGGGTTGTTGGCATTCGCATGGCTAACTGGTGACGGCTTCCCACGCGCCCGCAATTGGGTTTACATATATCCATATATATATATAACACATATAAACATATATATATATATATATATATATGTATATACTCTATGTATAAATACATAAATTCTATATAAAGTTGCTGTGAAACCGAACAGCTGTACGAATTTAACTACTTTTTGTTCTTTTTTTGTTTCTATAAATTACATATTCGATTTAAAAGTCATTAGCTGATATATATATATAGACATTTATATGTCGTATTGGAATCGAATTTTCAACCACATGCCTTGCTCACATGATGCCCTTTTGACGTGCCTATCTTATCCGTCTAATGAGATCCTGACATACTCACGCACACACACACACACACACATTCACACTACAACACAAAGCTAAAGATAGCTGAAACATAGAAAAGCTTGCACGATGGCACGATACCCTGTTCTTCTACTATATGTCAATACAATTTGTAATATTTATCGAAAGGAATGATCGATTAGATTTCTTAGCAATACTTATCAAAATGCCCAACAATACAATTTTGATTATCACAAGTAATACTCGTCGTATATATACTTTGAGTGATAATCTATAGTTAGACCGATTTTTACTTAAAGTCAATGTCACTAGATCGATAATCGCATAACGAAGCAATTTTATTTCGGCAAATAATTTCTTTTGCTTTATTATCGGGCAGAAAGCCCATAAAATTGAGCAATTTAACGGTATCTATCTCTTATATATATGGAATTAAACATATAATAGAACGCCGCAAACAACATATACAGGGTATTACGGGGGAAAAGATGGCGGCCAGCTGGCATGAAATATGCATTAATTGACAGAAGGCATTGAGAAATCTATAGATAAAAGTTCAATTTACACAGATAAGCTCTGTAGGTGGCACGCATTGAGGAGGTGAGCGCGGGATCGTAAGGGTTGACGGGCAATGCGGCGTATACGCAATGTCGTATCGCATTCGTTGTTTCCATGTGCTTTGCCTAATTTCGGCTTTTGTGGGCTCATCAATTGGAAAGAGAGTATATCAGTTTGCGATAAAACAGTTGCCCCTTTACAAGGACGAGGCGCATCAAGCTAGAGCTTAGATCTAGTGAAGCTATCGTTTTTGATATATATTGAAACAATTAATTAGGACATATCGTAAGAGAGTATTAAGCAGTCTGCCAAGCTGAACTGCAATCGGGTTGTTCTAATTAGATATTTGAGACAGTTGTAGAATACATATAGCCATATATGTATACATATAGCCATATCAATGTACTTACCAATTGGACTATCTTGATGAGGCCCGGTGCCGTTTTAAAATAGTCGAGATTCAAGCGAATGGCGCTCCAGAAGTTGCCATTGTTACTGGCTGAGGGATTGCCGCCAGGTGGGCCAGTTGTTGTTGTTGTGCGCTCGACGGTGACGACGGTCTCGACCATATTGTTGTTGTTGTTAACAATTTAACTTGAACTTTAATAAATAGAAAACTATTTCAAAAAAATATATAGATATTCATATATATATACGTATATATATAAATATATATATACACACAATGTACATAAACAACACTCGAAAAGATCTCGCAAGCGATCTTGTCTTTAGAATTATCACTAAAAAACAAGACAAAAAATATTCATAGATTTACGCTATATGCTATAGATACATGTGCACATATATATATATATATATATATATATATACTATATTTATATATATATGAGAGCTGCGCGCGTTTTATACCAGCTAGTTAACAAATCGGATTTATATATATACTTTTATTTTTGATTTATGAATGACTGCCAAGCGCTGCGATTGCTATGTCCACGGCTAACGAGACGCGTCTAACGACTGACGGGCACAACTGACACTGACTCTGACTCTGACTCTGATTACTGCGGTCGCTGTCGCAGTCGCTGCCTGCTGTATAACGGTTAACTGCACAATAATTGCTGCTTGTTATTTTTTTTGTCGTTTTCTAGCACTAAATACCAAAACAAATACCAACATCGCTCTCTACTACATGCTCTCTCTCTCTCTTTTTGCGCGCTGCCGATCGGCTGGACAGCCCTTTGCTGGCATACATTGATTTTGTGTGTGTGTGTGACAGTGTTAACCCACTGCACCCCACATACAAAGCGAATCAGGTTTTGTGACGCCGACGACAGCCGAACGTTACACGAGGCTGAGTAATCAGCAACAATGTTAAAAGACGCTTGCTACACTGTGCTGCTATGCAGACTACACACAAACGGGTCTACACACAGACACAACTCATGCTACGCATATTCTGTCTAGAAGATTGCAATAAGTAATGCCTTTCGCTGACGTCACAACTTAAGTATTTTGCATTTCGTCACATGGATACCAACACATAATAACAAATTTAAGTGGTCTTATTTATATGTATATGGCATATACATTTCTAAAATTAATGCGTTTTTATATAACATATACTTGTTATCAATAAATTTAATATATTGAAAAATCTACCGTCTTTTAATATAAAGTTATAATGTAAAAATGTATATATGTATATAAAATCCAAAATTGCATTGGTTTTATACACGATAAAATCCTTTATATTTGTAGAGAATATTTGGCGCTTTTAATTTAAATTAACTGTGTTACCGATCGAAGTAACAGTGTGAACAAATTTTTAAACAACAAAATACCATAATATGCGAATACTTTGCATTGTTAGTACTATTAGAGCTGCTTAATATATTATCGAAATTATATTCGATTTCTGTGTGCGAAATATAATTTGGCAATAGCTCGTTTCGATTAAGTTTATGTGATTTAATCACAGCGATGTTAATGATTTTTGATAATAATAAAATTTTTAGTTACCATGTGCTTCAATTACTGTAACGCACAATCGTAACAACCTTCAATAGGAATTTCAAAAGAAAATACTACACGATCATTCATTTAAAATATTAAATGAATATGTCTGTAAAAATACCAAAACATATAAGAGTGACCGTTTTGCTGCATGAAAATGCCCATTTCGGTATATTTCGGGGCAAAATTTAGTGTGATCGTAAAATAGGTGAACAATTTGCTGTGACGCTGCCATTTGGATTTGGGCTCTGTTAAAAATCCACAAAACAAAAAATCGTTTTACCAAGTCTTCTTGGCTACGTCCAGCCAAAAGTAAAGCAAATAAAGAAGGAAAAAGAACTGTTGCAACTGTTGCATGCGCGCAGCGCAAACAACAATCAATGTGCCACACATTGCATGTTTACAAACACAACGAAATCGCTGCTGCTGCTGCTGCTGCTGTCGCTGTCGCTGCTGTTGCTGTTGCTTGTTTCGCCAAAAAACTTGCTGCCAAAAAAAGTTGAGAAAAGAGAAAAATAGATATATTAAATAAACTATACAAATATAACGGAACTGCTCAATCGTGCAAGTACTTAAACATTAGTGCCAGTTGACAAGGCGAACTGCAAACACATTTACCTGGACATTGGCACATACATATATCTATACATATATATATATATATATTTATATATATATATAAATATATTATATATAAAGATATACATATATACATATATATATATACATATATTTATATATATACGCATCTATAAGTGTGCGCCTGGCTGGGCTCTCGTGCACGTCTCTGTCAGCCCGCCCGCCCGCATGTGGCGTTGGCTACCGACGGCTGTCGAAGCTGTCGCTTAGACATTTGCATCTGCTCCTCCTTTGCAGACCATTTGAATCCTCAAGTGGTTTACCGACAGAAAAGAGAAGAAAACACACAAAAACACCAAACACGCTCGTGACCTCATCAACAGTCCATCACTAACAAGTACAACAACAACAGTTATTGCTTTTCCTGCGCCCAGCTGGGCTTCATCCTCAGGTTAGCTACAAAAAAATTTGTTTAGCCATATTTTTCACTTATATCTAATTTATATATAAAAAATATTTTTTTGGATTGCAGCGAAAATCCTCGTGCAAAGGAGCAACAACTTTTAAGGTCTACTTTAGCAGCAGGTAAGATGCACCGCCATTTGATTCAGCGCCACAGCGTGATCGTATGCCCTGTACATCAGCTACTTAAAATGGGGTATATTAGTTTTTTGCTACAGATTTTCATTGAAATGTAAATTGTTTGGACTTTATATATGTATAAATATATATATGTATATATATATATATATTATATATATTTATTTTTTTGTGCGTGATTGTCAGAGTACAGTGAGGGTGCACTAACAGCAACTACTAGAAGTGAGCGCTCAATTTTTAAAGTGTAAAAGCATTTAAAGAAGTTTATTAATTGTATAATATTTTAATCAATTTTAACTGGACAATACATATTTGCATATTTCAGAGACTTTTTTATCTCTTAAATTTTAAAATATTATCTATATTAATTGCCAATATATGAGTAAGATAAACACAAAAAACTAACAAAAAGTCATGTATCGACTAGGATTAGGTACATTTAATGTGTACCACTTTAGGTACGATATATATGATACTATTAATAGTTCATAACTAAAAAAAATCGATATATATTTAATGTCAAGACGAATAACTAAAAAAAGTTGTTAAATAATTCTGGCTTTGGTATATTGGTACATTTAGTTAAAACTTTTGGCACGAAGAACTGACTACAGTTAGTACAAACAGTTAGATATAAGAAATATGATCTAAGCAAATAGATACAGTTGAGGCAGCTGCTCGATCCCAACTATAAACGATAAACTATATACTGTAAAAATCTGTACTATATGTAAATTTCTATACTCTGTTTACAGTGCTGCTCTAACTATCCACAATATAGCCGAAGCAGGAGGCGAGGCGAATTGCATGCGGCATCTGAAAGAAGGACGCAGTGGAAGATTGGACAGGACGTTTAGCAATTAGTTTAGCATGGATGTGGAAAGGCGGCGTCGGTGAGTAACACTATAACTAACAAATACATGCACGCACACGCACACACACTTACACCTACCTGAACTCGCACACAGTTACGCACGCATTGCGACTGGTGTTCAATTAATTGTCTAAAACTGAATGAGTGCTCAGATTTGTTCACTTAAGATTTACAAATTTAGCTAAAAACAAAACAAGTAAACGTGCTCTAGAGCTTGAATGATCAACTAGCGGATACCCTGTGCGCAGCCTTGAGCTATTTTTCTGGTTAATATTTTCGTTGGTTTCATTCAAGTTTCGTCTCAGCTACTTAACTCTATAAAAAGTAAACGAATATATATTTATCGATGTTGATTTAGCTAGTTATCTATAAATATAATGTACTAGCTTACGATATTTATCGATCTATTTAAAAGAGAAGCAAGATTAAGATCAAGAAGGAAACGAGGCAATTAAATATAAGTTGTCTCTGTAATATTCAGTAACTCGATATGAATGTCGATATATATCGATTCTTTAATAAAATGTTAATCGGGTCAAGAAGTGGTAGATTTAGTTTAGTATGTGTACAAAATTTTTTTTAAATATATTTAATAAGTGCGTGAAAATGATGTCAAAATGCTACTGGATATCGATTTTTATCGATTGGTAAAAATTGTGTTGAATTGCTGTTAACATCAGCTAGATAGAAGTGTGATGAAGTATGCATATGCCTTGATGTTAAATGCTATCGATACTTATCGATTCTATATAGCTTTGTTAAGCTAGCTAAATGATTGTCAAACGTAAGCTGCTTAGACGTTTGCTTCAGTTTGCATACTTTCGAGTTCAGATAGTATATGAAATCGATGTTTATCGATCTCTGCTTAGTCCAAGTGCAAATGAGCTGGAGAGCCCTTGTTAGTCTAAAAGGTTAATGAATGAGATAGCAGTGAGATTAAGAGTGCAGATGATAATAGTTTATGCTATCGATACTTATCGATACTATAATTCATTCATTTAGCAGTCACGTTACTTGGGCTTAGGCTACTTTCTACTATTAGTACTATGTTGCAATAAATTTCAATAAGTTCAGTGTAGCACTTGATATTGATATCGATATCGATATTTCTATTTTGTCAATTTAGACGAAATTAAAGTCAATTTCAATCAGTATGCAGCTATCTTTTTCTTTGAAGCCATATACCCAATTGTCCGTGTGCTTGTGTATACAGGGTATATGAAAAACATCAGTGCCGAAAACACCTAGCATAATCAATGTTCAAAGCGGCAGCGACAGCGGCAGCGGCAATCAAATTGACAAGCGAGTGAGCAAAACGATTTTGGCCATGCCCGTGCCTGGTGGCCGGGCGGGCGACTTTTCATAAATTTGCCATTTTCGCATTAAAATTTGTAAGCAAACCAAACCAAAAACAAAAAAATAACTAAAAACAAATAATATATATATTATATATATATATATATATATATATTTGTCTATATATATAGGTAGAAGAAAAAAACAACAAACGACTGGGCCAAAAGCAGAGAGCGTTATTTCAGTTGCAGGCGGCGCATCGCAGTGCGTGAAACGCGTTTCGCAAAAGCTATAAGAGCAAAGATAGATATATACATATATATATATATGTATTTTTATAGTATATAGATTAACTAGAGTACATAGTATATAGAGTTTGGACAGAGATATGTGGTATTGGATGCCCGCTGCACTGCATCTGTGTGAGCCGGAACGGTACGTTGCGTATCCTAAATACAAAGAAAAGAACAAAAAGAAAAGAAAATCATAAAAATTTAGAAAAATTCTTCAGTTTTTATAAACCATATACACACGCACACAAAGACACATACACACCCGGAGAACTACAAATGTATTTGAAATGTGCCGAAGGTGCTAAAAACATTTGGCCATAAGCAAAAGCAGCTACGCCAATTGCAATGCACTTGGCCATTAAAAACTAACAACAACAACAGCAAACAGCAACAACAATTTATAATAATAAACTTAAAAATAATAATA